CACACACACACACACACACACACACACACACACACACACACACACAGAAATAGTAATATGCCTTAAAAAACCAAAACTATAGAAGGCCTCAGACTCTGGTTTTTGCACAAGAACCGTCTAAGATGTTCTAACAAGTCATGTCTCTCCCTCCCCCAGCCTAGGTCCCACCATGAGTGCAGAGCTCAATGTGCCCATGGACCCCACCACCCCTGCCTGCCCTGAGCCCGGCCACAAGGGTATGGATTACCGAGACTGGGTCCGACGCAGCTACTTGGAACTGGTCACCTCCAACCACCATTCAGTGCAGGCACTGTCCTGGAGGAAGTTATACCTGAGCAGGGCCAAGCTGAAAGCCTCCAGCCGGACCTCTGCCCTCCTCTCTGGCTTTGCCATGGTGAGTGTGGGGGAGGGGAGGCTGGGCAGGTAAAGCCCTAGCAAATGTGTTTCCTAAAGTCTTGAAGTGCTCCAGGGAGCACTTCTTCTCCAGGCCACTTAGAGGAAGACAGACACAGCTTAGCAAGGTGCTTGCCACGCAAACATGAGGACCTGGGCTCATTTCCCTAGAGCCTGTCGTGGAAGGGGAGATCGAGTATGGAAAGTTGCTCCTCTGACCTTCACAGCATGTGTGCACCCATGCTAAGACACACACCACACACATGGGCAACACACACATGCACACACACACACACACACACACACACACAATAAATTGATTAATTTAAAGAAAATCGAAGAGCTGGAAATACGGCTCAGCAGTTACAGTGTTTATAATGTAAGTTTCAGGACCAGGGTCCAGATCCCAGAAACCCATGTAAATGCAGGTGATCGTGGTGGTTGAGCTTCAGAGGTGGAGATAGATCTTTAGCAGAGGGGCTTGCAGGGCTAGCCAGACATCAGTGAGAGACCCTGCCTCAGTAAATAGTGTGGAGGGTGACACCAACCTCATGCCTCCACATTTGTGCACACACACAGACATGCATACATGCATGTCTACAACATACACACACACAAATAGGGGGTGGGGGGTGGCACCTGAGAAGCAAATCCTGAGGGTCATCTCTGGCCTCCACGTGAACATGCACATGAATGCACGTGTGCATTTTCACACATGAACACACACCACACACCACAAACACACACACGAACATAACCTACATTCAGGAGGGAGAGACAGACAGATCTCTCTAAATTCAAGGCTAGCCTGGTCTACATGTCCAGTTCTAGGCCATTCAAGGCTACATAGTGAGCTAATGTCTCAAAATAAACAAAACAGCTCCAGTGAGTAGGGTGTACTGGAAAAGGTAGCATTTTGTGTTTCGTTTGCCCCACCACAGGCCTCACCCTGATTCTGAAAATGTGAACCGGAGCAAGAACTCGGGATCTATGGCAGGTGGCCAGCCTGGCTGGGGCTGTAGGTGCTGGCCAAGTGTGGCCTCCTCCTGGGGACGACGTGGCTGGTTGTCGCCAGCTCCTCAGTCATCCCAGGACAAGAGTCAGTCGCATCTGCCCCACACCCCACAGGGATTTGGCCCAGGAGACAGGCTGTGAGGGCTCAGCCCCCCTCTCTGCGCTGTGCTGGGATGGCTGGGTGGGAAGTGATTTACTTCAAGCCAAATGATTGGTCTTTTGTCTAAACTCCAGGCCATAGCCTCCATTATCAATGGGCAGAGCATATGAAGGAAACATCCTACATGGGTGGAGACATGCTAGGCTGAGTAGGCCACATTTGGGAGAGTTAGACCCTCCCACACAGGGTGCGCATAGGCTGCCTACCTCTGAGCAACACTTGGGCCTTGTTTTAATTTTGTTTTATTCTTCCTTTTCTGTGTTGTTTGTTTGTTGCTGGAGATTGAATCTAAGATCTTTTTCTTTTCTGCCTCCTTCCTTTTGATGTTCTGTAGGACTTTTTCACTTGGCTTTTCCCCTTTTTTGTGTCTGTGATATGCATGTGCCTGTGGGGTTATGTGTGCATTTTTATATGTGTGCATGCACGTGTGTATATGTCTGTGAATGCACGAGTGTGTGTGAGCATGTGGGAGGTGGAAATCATCCCACTGTTCTTTCACCACAGTTTGGAGGCAATCTCTCTCTCTCGCTCTCTCTCTCTCTCTCTCTCACTCTCGCTCTCGGGGTGCTTTGCCTGTATGTGTGTCTGTGCACCATGTGCATGCCTGGTGCTTGAGGAGGTGGAAGGGGCTTCAGCTCCCTGCAACTAGAGTTCCAGGTGGCCGTGAGCCACCCTGTGGATGCTGGTAATCAGACCTGGGTCCATGGAAAAACAGACACTGTCCTTAACCATGGAGCCATCTTTCCAGCCCCCAGAGACAGGGTCTCTTAATCAAACCCAGAGCCCACCAGTGCGGTTACTCTTGCTAACCCCTGACTACAGATCCTGTTTCCCCTTTCAGGGCTAGGATTGTAGGTGGGTCACCATACCCACCCAGCATTTACATGGGTTCTAGGGACCCAAACTCTAATCCTTATGCTTTCTGAGCAATCGCTTCAACCCCTAAGGGATCTCCCCAGATGTAGGACCTTTTAGAAATGTTTATTTATTTGTGTGTATGTGTCTGTGTGTATAAATATATACACACGTGTGCAGGTATGCACCAGGATGTCAGAAAACAGCCTCAGATGTTTTCCATCACTATGATGGAAGACCTATGAGCAGGGTCTGTCCCTGCTTGAGTTTTCTCTGCTAGGTTTCCAGCTTTTACATGGGTGTTGGGGTCCAAACTGAAATTCTTATGATGGCACAGCAAACACTATTCTTAACCACTGAGACATTTCTCCAGCCCCTAAAACTATGTGCTAGACCATTGCTCCACCACTAGCCATTTCTCCAGGGCATTCGTCATTTTCCCCTGCGGTTTTATCATGCTAAGTATGTTCCTCAGCCAGGGGAGTGCTTGCCCAGCATACACAAAGCCCCAGCACTACATAAACCAGGAAGGTGGTACACACCTGTAATTCCAGCCCTCAGGAGGTAGAGGCAGGAGGATCAGAAGTTCAAAGTCATCCTCAGCTACATAGTGAGTTCAATGCTAGTTTGGCCTACCATTAGACCAGGCATCAGAAAAAGAAAAAAAAAAAAAAAAAAAAAAGACAGCAAGTGTCTGGTTGTGTCAGTGTGTAGCCTCAGCTTCATGATCATCCTGCCTCAGTCCCTTGGTGGCTGCAATTAAAGGGTCTACATCATCACACCTCACTTAACCTTCTGCAGGGCCTGCTGTTTACAGCTCATGTGGAGGCATGAGGTCCAAAGGTGGCTTTGATCTCTGACAGAACACGGGACCCTCAGCAAAAGAGGAGGGTCAGACATACAGTGCGAGGCATCACCGTGGCCAAGCTGTAAGCTCTGCCTCTCTCCCGATACTCAGGGTGAATCAATCTGTGTGACTGGAATTCAGAGTGTGACAGAATGTCCCCCACTGACTCTTCTGACTGGCAGTGTCTTCAAGGAACAAGGAACTGTCACATTCAGAAAGAATCGGGAGGGGGCAGTGGGGGTAGGGTTCTGGGGAGAGCACTGCCCAGTGTGCACAGGGATGATGTCACACACCTGTCATCCTAGAGGCTGGAGCAGAAGGGCTGAGAGGGTTCAAGGCCCTGACTGTCTTGGAATGTTACGTAGACCAAACTGACCTCACAGACCCACCTGCCTCTGACTCCTGAGTGCTGGGATTAAACGCGTGCCCACCTCACTGGACTTCAAGCTCAATTTGAAGGAGTGTGTATGAGACATTAGATGCTGCTGTTACTGTTGGAACTTGTTCTCTTTACCACAGACTTGTACAAAAGTGCATTTTTCTGACATTGTTTTTGTTTGTTTTAGTTTTGGGAAGTCAAGACATTTTACAGGACTTTAATGTAATAGGCTTATTTTCTCCCTCCCCACACACATCCTTTTTTTAATTTTCAGGCAGGACCTTACTATGTAGACAGGTTGTCTTTGAACTCACTATGTAGATTGGGTTGGCCTCCAGCTCAGAGATCCTCCTACCTTTGCCTCCCTAGTGTTTGGATTAAAGGAACACATCACAACACTCAGCTTCTTTTCTCTCATGACCCCTGTGTGTCTGTGTCTGTATGTGTGTGTCTGTGTATGTCTGCATCTGTGTGTCTGTGTGTGTGTGGTGCTCTTGATAGAGCCCAGCACTGCCAGGCAAGTGCTATCTCCCCTGAGATATCCTATCTCCCCCTGAGCCATACCCCCAGCCAGATGGTTCCCTTTGTCTGTGAGGCGCAGGGCTTGGAACTCACTCCCATCAGCAGCTGTTGTTTTTGGATCCAGGCCTTGAGACCATTTGGCTCACCAAACTTTGGAAGACTTTATAGTATCTCACCCAAAGAAATGCTCACCCAAACGAAAGCTTAAGCCACTTGCAAGGTTTCCAGACAGGTTCTATGAATGATCAAACAGGGAGTGTGTATTCTGGAGATGGGGAGGGAGAGGTCTAGACTTCATAGCAGCCTGGAGTATATCAACAGGCATGGAAGGGAGGCCTAGGTCATCCAGGGGGCCCAGATACTGCGTGACCTCAGCTTGGCTATGGCAGCCATGCTTCATAGTAATAATCATTTCTACTCTGAAACTCCTCTAGTACTGGCAAGTGCTTCTGGAGGCAACTTGGAGATACATTTAGGAAGCATCCTGGTGTCCTTTTATCTCCTCTGGAAGTTTCCTCTAGTGGGCTATTATAGCTCACCAAGAAATGTCCAGGGGGAGATAGGAAACAACCTGAATATTCAGTGAAGAGGCAAAGGCAGAGTCAGGGCCAGCAGGTAAAGACATTTGCTGCCAAGCCTGATGGCCTAGGTACAATCCTTGGAACACACATTGTAGAAGGGAGAGAATTGACCCCTGAAAGTTTTCCTCTGACCCCCACCTGCATGGTGTAGCGGTCACACACATGCATGGGCACACACTTGCAAGCACTGGTGATCTATGGCCACCTTAGAGGTCTCCACACAAATACAGAGAAGCATGGCTCCTGGCTTGCCTTCCTCTGGAAGCAGACACAAACTACATGCTCTGGGCTTTGTGTCCTCCCTTTTATTATTTATTTACTTATTTATTTTTGAAGTGTTAGAGATCCATACATATGCTAGACAAGACCTATATATCTCTGAGCCACACACCAGCCCCTCTCTGGGGGATTATAGGCAGGGGCTCTACCACTGAGCCACATTCCAGCTTTTAACCATCTTTGTTTCCAATCTTAGAGTCCTCTGATTAAAAAAAAAAAAAAATGCACACACACACATATCCCCAAACCAGAACAACCAAAGCCCCAATAGAATCCCCTAGTGAGGGGCTGGGGGTGTGTTTCAGCAATGCAGCCCTTGCCCAGCATGCCCAATCCCCCCTACTCTGCCCAACTGATGGTCATGGTAGGATGCATCCTTGCCCACCTGACCCAACACCCCTGCTGTGCCCGCAGGTGGCCATGGTGGAGGTGCAGCTGGAGACACAGTACCAGTACCCACAGCCCCTGCTCATCGCCTTCAGCGCCTGCACCACGGTGCTGGTGGCTGTGCACCTCTTTGCCCTGCTCATCAGCACGTGCATCCTGCCCAACGTGGAGGCTGTGAGCAACATCCACAACCTCAACTCCATCAGCGAGTCACCGCATGAGCGCATGCACCCCTACATCGAGCTTGCCTGGGGCTTCTCTACTGTCCTGGGCATCCTGCTCTTCCTGGCTGAGGTGGTCCTGCTCTGCTGGATCAAGTTCCTCCCAGTGGATGCCAGGGGCGAGCCGGGCTCACACAGCCACACGGGCTGGCAGGCCGCACTGGTGTCCACCATCATCATGGTACCTGTGGGTCTCATCTTCGTGGTCTTCACCATCCACTTCTACCGTTCCCTGGTGCGGCATAAGACAGAACGCCACAACCGTGAGATCGAGGAACTGCACAAGCTTAAGGTGCAGCTGGACGGGCACGAGAGAAGCCTGCAGGTAGTGTGAACAGCACAGCCTGCAGGGGAGTGGGGCCCCTCTGGCGGTGCCAGCCACCACACAGCTGGTTGGAGTAGCCAAGGGGCTGCCAGACAAACTCTGGCTGCATGAGAACGCCATGGCATCACAAGAGCCACATCGGGGATTGCTAAGCAGATGCTCAGATGCTGCCCCGATAACTCCACACTCCTGTCCTCGCATGAATAAGGGTCTAAGGAATGAGAATGCCAACTGTTCCATCAGAAGCCAGAGGAAGAAACATGGTCACAGTTGTACGGCCCTGGGGACTTCCTGGGTCCCAGCATAGCAGAGTTCACGGTAGATCTCAGATTGGCAAGGCCTGTTGGGGTGTTGGAGCTCAGTTGGTAGAGTGCTTGCCCAGGGTGTTGGAAGGCCTAGCACTACTTAAGCTAGGGGTGGTCATCCCAGTTTCATTCCAGGATTAGGGAGGTGGAGGAAGGAGGACCAAGAGTCCAAAGTTGTCTGTCCTTTGCTACATGGTGAGTTTGAGGCTACGTGAGACACCATCAAACACAAGCACATGTGTGCACGCTAGCACGGGCACCCACCCACCCACACAATAGGCTGTTGGAAAGTGCAGAGGTGGACCCAGGGTAGCATGGCTTGTGATAACAGACAGGGATGTGGTGACCAATGTACAGCTCAGCTTGGTGCTTCACTCCTGGGGACCGTCACTGGGTGTTCAGGATCCCAGGGCACACAGCGGCTCAACAAGGGTAACAGATACTGTTATTAGAACCAGAGTTTCCTGGTCTTAGAGAGATGAGCAAGTGTGGGAGGCCTGGCAGGACTAAGGAGAAATGTCTTAGAGCCCAGCACCATAGGCAGACTGAGGTTAGAGATGGTGACACCCACATACCACTGGCAGCAGATCCCACATGCAGAGATGACAACCTCTTAGCCACAAGAAGAGCCTGAGCCAGCCCCCTCGCCCCCACCCCCACTCTTGTGGACTGTGTCAGCACAGGCCCCTGCTGGGCACCATCTCAGAGACCAGCCAGCTCAGCCACCACCCCCCATTCCCTCGCTGCCTGTGGCCCTCAGATGTTGAGAGGATAAACTAGAGGGACTTCCTGTTTCAGCACCGCGGTTAGCGTGGCCTGTGGGTGGGGCAGGGGCCTACCCCAGCCTAATACAGGAAGCTATTCCCTGTGATGAGCCTGATCAACTGCCAAGGCCAGGACTTTCAACGCAGGTCCCTGCCCCCTGTGTTTACACAGCTTCACATGAGTTTGGCATGGCCACTGTGGGCATCTGGCCACTCAGCTGGTGTTATCACCCATACCCTGAGGTACAGCGCTAGCTTGCGTGGGAGCTGCTGGGACACAGTGCTTACCTATTTCTGCAATATCACCCGAATGATCGCTGGGCTCCCACGAGCACCACTTCTGTTTCTTACAATTTTTTTTTTGGAGTCTGGATTTGGTGCCATGGGATCCTGGAGTTCCACCCCACTGCTGCTGCCACCACCGGCCCTCTGCTCCTGTGAAGTCTCTGGAAATGGGACACAACCGAGTACAACCTTCAACACTCAGAGGGCCCTGGGGAGCCTTGTGGACAGTCTTCCTTGTAAACTGTGACATCTGTGGGGAGCCAGGTCACAGTGTCCCGTGAACCCAGGAAAACGCCCTCTGTCTTTCAAAGTGTGTGTCTCTTCAACACCTCCTCACACCCCTGCAGACATCTGTCTTGAGACCCCTTGAGTCTCAGACCTGTATGCTTTCCTAGGGTCTTTTGAGAAGGTCAGCCTAGTTTGGTTTGTTTTGCTAAAGAGTGCTAGAATCAGCTGGACAGTGCCACACTCCTGTGATCCCAGCACCTGGGGAGGCAGAGGCAGAAGCAGGTGGATCTCTGTGTTCAAGGCCAGCCTGGTCTATAAAGTGAGTCCAGGACAGCCAAGGCTACACAGAGAAACCCTGTCTTGAAAAAAAATAAAAACAAAAACACAATGCTAGAATCATGGGTGGACAAGATGGCTCAGTGGGTAAGGGCACTTGCCACCAATCCTGAAAACCTGAGTTCAGTCCCCACCCTCTGACCCATACACAAATAAACACAATAAGAAAAATAATTTAATGTTAGAATCACTGTAAGACGGCACTGTCCCAGCAGGGAAAAGACAGGTGTGGCCTTTTGGAATGAGTAGCTGCCCACTCCAGAGCAACTTTTGAAACACCATGTTGGACTAAGGATATAGCTCAGTTGGTCATGTGTTTGCCTAGCATTTGATAACTAGGACCATAGAGCCCAAATATGGCTGGATGCACCTGTAATCCCAGCATTCAGGAGGTAGAGGCAGGTGGATCAGGAGTGCAAGGTCATAATGAGTTCGAGGCCTGGGACAGACAGACTGTTATCAGAAAAAAAATGTAGGAGGTGGGGTTCAGGGCCTCTGCAAATGGCCTAGCAGTTGGTAGTGCCTACTGCTCTCACTGAGGGCCAGAGTTAATTTTCAGCACCACATAGGGCAGCTCACAACTGCCCACAACTCAAGTTCCAGAGGATCCAATGCCCTCTCCTGGCCTCCGCAGGCATTCACACACGTACATATATATATACATATAAAATAAAAGAAGGGGTTCCTGTTGGACGTTGGACCCGATCCTTCTACCCATTATCTAAGGCCATTTGATGCCTCAGCTCATGGCATGCCCAGCACTTAGTGCCGTGTGTAAGCCCAGTGCTGAGGCATGGGACAGCCATCTGTGTGTGATTGGAGCCGACTGCCCATGAGGTCACCCATGGGCAGGAGTGGCAGGGCCATCCTAGAACTCTGTCAGGACCTGGAAGATAAGCTCTCACTGTGAACAGTGGCAGAAGCCAGCAGGCTGAAGACCAGAAGTTCAATTTCTGTAGGCATAACCTAATTTTGAATCTTGTTCTAACTGCAGCCACGTGGCTAGAACCACTGTGGGCCCCTATGGGGCTGGCACAGGCTTGTCCTAATTTTCTCTCTCCAAGATTCAGCCCTTCCTGGTGCTCAAGGGACCAGTGTCCTCAGACACACCAAGGCCCTTCCCAACATGACATGCGGGCTCCCCATACCCTTGATTACAAGGTCTCCAAGTCCAAGTGTTTCTATTTAAGAAGCTGCAAAGGCAGAAGTGATTGGTGTCTTCCAGGAAGGTCTATTGAGAATAAACTACAGGGGCCCGAAAGGCTCAAGACTGTCTGTGCCACCATTTCTGCAGGACACTGTGTAGATAACTCCTTCCCTGTGTGTGGAGTTTTTAGCAGTTGCCCTGGATTGAGCTGAATAAACTGGTAAAGTTTTTCAAAAGTCTGTGCTCTTGAGAAGGGTGTACCATGCTTCAGGGGATCCACCCCAGTGCCCGCCATCCTGCTGACCCTCAGCCCCAACAGGAGAGCCCTTTATCTGGAGCCTATGCATTGCCTTGTATTGCCAGTCACTGCCTCACATGGGCACAGTGGACATGGGACCTTCTAGGATGGGTAGGCAGGCTGCTGGGACCCAGGCATACTTTGAGTGAGGTCCCTGCCAACCAGACCCCTGAGAGAATCTTAGGATTGGCCTCGGATGCCTCTTCCTGGTTTCCTTTCTGAAGGGGGGAAGGGAAATGGCAGAACCCTTTCCCTGGACAGGGTCAGGTGGATCCCATAGTCTTCTGGAAGGAGCTCCTAAGGTGTCGGTATCTGTCCCTGTAGCTATGGTCTGAGGTCACCCATTGCGACCACCAACCAACAAGACACCCTAGACACTCGATTTGAAAAAGCTGCCCAGACAGATAAGCCCCTCCTAGGAAAGAGATTTTCTTCCTGGGGCGAATACATTCGTGTGTGTGTGTGTGTGTGTGTGTGTGTGTGTGCGCGCGCGCGCGCGCACGCGCATGTGTACCTGATGTGGAGGCCAGAGGTTAACTTTAGGTGCCACTCTTCAGACATCTTTAGTTGAGACACAGTGTCTCACTTGCCTGGGAACTGGACATTTATGTTAATTTGGGGGTCAGGGAAGCCCAGGGATCTTCCTGTTCCTCCCAGTACTAGGAAAAGTATGTGCCACCAACTAGTTTTTGTTTTGTTATTTTTTGTTTTTTCCAAGACAGCATTTTTCTGTGTAGCCTTGGCTGTCCTGGACTTGCTTTGTAGACCAAGCTGGCCTCGAACTCACATCAGTCTGCCTGCCTCTGCCTCCCTGAGCGATGGGATTAAAGGTGTGTGCCACCGTGCCTGTGTGTGGGTTTATTTTTTGAAATTTTTTTATGTGGAGATGCAGTTCATGCCCTCATTGTCACTTTACTGACAGAGCAACCTTCCCAGCACCTCCTAGGGACAATTTCTGTCCTTTAACCATAAGAATTATTGATCAATGGGGGAGGCCCAGCCCATTGTGGGTGGGGTCACGCTGGGCTGGCACCAGGTCCTGGGTTCTATAAGAAGCAGGCTGAGCGAGCTAAGGGAAACAAGCCAGTAAGCAGCACCACTCCGTGGCTTCTGCCTACAGGTTCCTGCGCTGCTTGAGGTCCTGTCCTGACTTCCTTGGGTGATGAACAGTGATGTGCAAGTGTAAGCTGAATAAACCCTTTACTCCCCAACTTGCTTTTTGATCATGGTGTTTCATTACAGCAGTAGAAATCCTAAGACAGTAATGATCTAGGATTTCAGCCCAGAGGCTTCTGGGAGTCAGGTGTGCAAAGCATATAGAGCAAAGTTCCACAGGCTGCAAGGCTGCTGGAAAGGGCCTGGGCTCAGTATATAGCCAGCCAGCCAAGTTGTGCCAGACTTGAGCAGGTCAACACTTAAAATGAAAGTGACAGGATCTCACTGTCTCTCAGGCTGGCCTGAAAGTTACCATCCTCTTGTTTCTGCCTCCCAAGTGTTGAGATCTTATGCGTGTGCCCCTACCCCTGGTAGCCAGTCCTTCTTATTCTGAACGGGAAGCCATAGGAGTACTGCCTACAGAGCATCAGAATTGGTGGCCCAGTCCACAGGACCCAGACTAGGTCCTGAGCTTGAGAAATCCTGCTGAAGAGACACGTGGATGAAGGTTTAAGGTACCAGTAAGTCCAAGTGTGTGGTCACAGTCACGCCCTCTCTGTGGTGGCTGATGGAGGCCAGGCTTTCTGAAGCACATAAGATCCTGATGCCACAGAGTCACCCATGATTTAGCATACAGCCTAATGTGAACAGCCATGGTGTTGATAGTGTGATAACTCATTCAAGGCTCCCTCCTCAGGGCCTCACTACATACAAGATAAACAATCTATTACTGTTTGGCCATGGTGCCTCAGACCCTGGTACAGACTTCCTAGATAGTTCCCAACTCTCAGGTATTTCTGAGAGGGATCAGAAAGAGCAGACTGGCTGGGGCTGGAGAGATGGCTCTGTAGTTAGGAGCACTGGCTGCCCTCCCAGAGAGGCCAGGGCTTGATTCAAAGCACCTACAAGGAAGCTCACAACCATATGTAAGTCCAGGCCCAGGGACTCCAGTGCCCTCTTCTGGGCTTCATGAGTACTGCACACACATGGTGCACAAGCATATGCATGCAAAGCACATGTAAAATATAATTTCTAAGCTAAAAATATGAAATTAAGACAGAGGCTGGGGAGTTGGGCTCAGTCAGACCTGAGTTCTCCTGCCAGGGCCCACTGAGTTGGATATGGGGGCATCCCAGACAGGTGGGTTCCTGCGCTCAGTACTAGCCAGCCCAGAATACGTGGATCGTTCCAGGCAAATGACAGACCCTATCTTACAAACAAAATGCATGGCACCTGAACAACAGGAGCTGAGGGGCTAGTGACATGACTCAGTGGGTAAAGGTCTTTGCTGCCAAGGCTAATGACCAGAGTTCAAGCCCCAGAGCCAACATGAGGAAAGGCGAAACCTGACTCCCTCCAATGGGTCTCTGACCTTCTCCTGCACACCACCTAACACAAATACACCAGGATAAATAAATGAATGCAATAAAGAACCGGAGACCTCCAGCCTCCAGACGCAGGCATACAGCAAAGGCAGGGTACCCACATATGTATGCAACCTGTACAGGACACAACCCCCCAAAAATTGACATCATAAAAACAACCCAACCCAGAGCTGACTGTGACCCTTCCCTGGGCATGTAGGACAGTATGTTGTGTCTACAAAGCCTTGAGATACAGGGCTGTCATGCAGGCCAGCCCATCCACCGTGACCTGCTCTGTCCTCCATACATGTGCTACGGTAGAGCAGAGCTGTGTCCTGCTCCCATAACTAAATAATAATGTAATTTTTAAAATTAAGTTCAATCCCTGGGACCTACATAGTCAGAATTTGAGGCCAGTTTGGGCTACAATGAAGAGCTTATCTCAAAAAAAGGAAGAACAAATGAATGAATGAATGAATGAATGAATGAATGAATGAATGAGAAAAGGGTTTAGGCATGGTAGGATGGTATATATTTTTAACCCAAGCATTCACTCAGAGGTTGAGGCAGAGGGATATCTTATGAGTTCAGAGCCAGCCTGGTCTACAAAGCAAGTTCCAAGGCTACTCAGTGAGACCCGTTTTAAAACAAAAGACAAAATAATTACAACTACCTCACACAGAGATGGGGAAAGGAAAAAAAATCATTTCATACCAAGGTTTTACTTCTATTATAAACTTTATCAGAGGGGGTGGCGATCGGAGGACAACTGGCACGAACTGGTGTGCTCCTTCCACCATGTGGCTTCCAGAGACTGATTCAGGCGGTCAGGCTTGTTGGCAAGCGCCTCTACCCACTGAGATCTACTTGTCTCAGGTACTAAGGTTTTTAAAGACTGAATCCCAGGCCCATCAGAACCAGCTCTGGGCAAGGTGAGTGAGGGTGTTCATGACATCGGAGGTCAGGTGGCTCCTCAGAAAACCTCGTGAGTGTCACCTCTGCACCTGAGGCAGGAGGATCAGGAGTTCAAAGCCAGGCTACATGGTGAGTTCCAGGCCAAGTCTGGTCCACATGAGACCTTGTCTCAAAAAACCCCAACAGGGGAGGGTTACAGCTCAGCTGGCAGAGCACTTGCTTAGCAAGCAGGAAGCCCTGGGTTCCATCCCAGCATGCTGGCAACCCCAGCATTCAGGAGGAAGAGGCAGGAGGATCAGGAGTTCAAAGTCATCCTGGGCTATATAGGAAGTTCAAGGCCAGTCTAGGCCAGAGACCTTGTCTCAAAAAAGAAAAGAGAAACAAAATAATCTTGATAAAACCAGGTCTGGCAGTGCAGGCCTGTACTTCCAGAACTTTGGAAGTGGAGGTAGGAAAAAAATCATGAGTTCAAAGTTATCCTTGGCTACAGATCAGTTCAAGGCTAGTCTAGGCTACATGAGATGTTGTCTCAAAAAAATCCAATGAATCTAATGAGTTGTGGGTAGACCTCAGTGTTAGCTCCCCTGATGGCCATGCTTGAGCCAGGCTTCCCAGCCAGGCCAGTGTCAGCTTGTACCCTGGGAGGGGCTCACACCGGCCTCCCCTGGAAGGAGAGTGCAGCCCGCAGCAGCTCCTGCCCCACCTCTTCCTGTTGCCCTCCAGGCAGGAATGCCCCGGACAGCTCCCTGAAGGTGATGCAGACTCGACGGGCCTTGATGTGTCTGCGGTGGATGGCGTGTGTCCACTGGTGCCGTGCGGGCCCTGTGAGCATCAGCAGGGAGCGGCAGGGTACGGAGATGGCTACCTCCACCTCCTGGCAGGAGACAGTCCTACTAGGCGTCATGATGTTGCCCTCAGAAGTATCAGGTCCGACGGAGGGGTCTGAGGAGAGGAGCAGGCTGCCAGGAGCCTCACTGGCCATGGAAACCACTGTGGCTGACAGGAGGTTGAGGGTCACCAGCCGCTCACCCCACAGCCAGGCGTCATCCAGGTGGGGGTCAATGGCGGAGCCCCGCTCAGGGCTGTAATCCAGATTACACTGTTCCACAGGCTGGAAGTCCTCCAGCCCCGGGTAAAGGCCCATTCTCTGGACTACCTTCTGGCTGAACCTGGGGAGACCCTGGAAGCCTGCCATCCTCAGCTTCTGCTTCCGAAAATTGACTTTCGGGCCATAGTCCTGGAGTGGGGACAGAAAGGAATGGAGAAGTAGCTCAGCTTAAGAAATGCCAACCACTAACTGGGCATGCTGCATATTCGTAATCCCAGTATCCAGGAAGCTGAGGCAGGAGCACCACCTAGAGTTCAAGGCCAGCTGGACTATAGAGTAAGACCTTGTCTTCAGGAAAAAGGAGAAAAATGTCAGCATAGTAGCACCTATAACCCAGCATTTGTGAAGGACAGAGGGTTGGAAGTTAACCTTCATAGTAAGTTTAAGACCAGTTCTGAGGCCTGGGTGGGGTGGGGGCTTCTTGGAGGGAGAAGGGACAGGTGGAATATAAGGTGGTGGTGGATAAAGGAACAAGGTCCCCATGGAAGCTGTACAGTCTATCCTAAGGATCAGGGACAAAGTGGGCAGAGTGAATGGCTGGAGTAATCCCAGCAAAGGAAACTGCTTCAAGGGAACTCTAACTGGCTGATGTGGCCAAAGCTCTAACTAAATACTACAGTGCCAGGAACAATGGGTGAAGGGGTACCGCTGACGCTTCTGCAGGAACTAAGCTGTGGAAGTTGGGTGAGGGGGAGATAATGAGGGAGGGGAGAGATGGGTGGGGCACTGTGCTCCCTTCAAGGCACATCAGGAGTCCCACAGGGATGTGATGAGAATGGGTGGTGCCTGGCAGCCTCCAGCAGCCATGCTGGATGGAGAGCCCCATCTAGAACTTACCATCTCTCCAGCAATGAGACAGCTCTATAGAGGTGGTGGCAGCTCCGACTGATGAGGAAGTCCACACCCCCTGTGACTGGCCATCCACTTCCTACCAAAGATCCTCAGTGTGTAACTACAGGGGTCCCTGGCAAAGGGATTGCCTCTTGGCCCAGCTCAAGGCCACCGTACCTGTTTCCTTCTTCCAGACTGAGAGAGCTTCCACGGGTCATTGTCCATCAGACGCACCATCTCAGCCTCTTCCTCTGGGGTCACAAAGCCCTTGATCAGTGTCACTCCTGGGAAGGGGAAGGCCCAGCCCTCAAAGTCAGAGTCCTCAGCCCCCATGGCCCAGCCTGTGTCCGGGCAGTAAAGGAAATGATATTTTTTCTGTAAAAGACAGAGATGGAGCAGATGGCTCAGTTAGTGACAGTCTTACCTTGTAAGCACAAGGACTTGAGTTCAAGCCCCCCAAATCCACCAGAAAAAAACCATGGGGTTGTCATGGACGCCTGCAACTCCAGAGCTGGGGAGGCAGAGATGAGATGATAGAGGAAAAGCTAGCCTGGCCTTTTGGTCAATTCTAGGCTAGTAAGAGACCCTCTTTCAAAAACCAAGGTAGGCACCTGAGGCTATTCCCTGCCCTCCGCTGCACACTTGCACACACGGACGCTCCAAACAGAAGCACCCTGAGCCACCAAAGACCCTCAATACCCACATGTGCCCTAGGCTTCCAGGAGCCTCTGGCTTCTGGGGTTCTAAAGCTCTTCTTCCAAGCTGAAGCCACTTGGAGATATTTCTGGAGTCCCTGGGGCAAGGCAGACTGAACCTAGCCCCGGGCCTGAAGCCTTCTGAAGCAAGCCTGAGTTCTTTGTTCTCTAAGGAAATGGCCCTAGGCTGGGATGTGGGCCCTATTCCTTTGGCATTATATGCATCTGACCCCTCAGGGTCAAGAGCATGAAAGGATAGGAGGCTGCATCATAGGCTAACGGTAAGACTGTGGTCCAGGTGGCCAGAAGTTGGGATGTGCTTATTGGAAGCCACAGGTGTGTATCTTCCTTAGCCCTCTGAGGCTGAGAGGTGCAGCAGCAGAAACGCCTTCAAAAGGGGTCAGCTTTTGACCCCTTTTGGAGGGTCAAAAGGGCTAGAGAGATGGCTCAGCAGTTAAAAGCACTGGCTGCTCTTCCAGAGGGCCCAGGTTCAATTCCCAGCACCTACATGACAGCTCACAACTGTCTATGACTCCAGTTTTTGGAGATCTGATACCATCACATAGGCATACATGCAGGCAAAACACTAATGCACATAAAGTAGGAGTACATAAATATTTAAAAGGGGGAGGGGCCAACAGAGGCTGTAGTTCAGATGGTACGGTGCTTAGCATGCATGAAGCCCTGTGTTTCATCCCCAGCACTGCAAAAAAACATGCGTGGTGGTAGAGGCCTGTAATCCTGGTATTCAGGAGGTAGAGGCAGGTTGATGAGGAGTTCATGGTCATCTTTCACTATAAGGCTCAGCTTGAGGTTAAGGCCAGCTTGGGCTACAAGAGACCCATGGAACTGAGGGCCTAGCACATCAGGAAAGCACTCTACCACTGAGCCACATCCCAAGCCCAAGTCCCTTGAATCTTCAAGTTCTTTATTTCAAATTATTATTATTATTTTTTTGTTTGGTTGTTGCAATGTACATGTGAATGCAGGTGCCCTGCCAAGCACCTCGGAGCTGGAGCTGAAGGCAGATGTGATTCACCTGACTTGGGTGCTGGGAACCAAACTTAGGTCCTCTGCAAGAGCAGCATGTGTTCTTAACTGTGGAGCCAACTCTCCAGCCCCACCCACACTGGGGAATTCTAGGGATTCTATACCTCCAGACCACGCCCTCAGCCAGCCATTAGATTCTTTCCTTTAGCAGGCTAATCCATGTGCAGCTCATGTCAGAATTTCCTTCCTTTCTTGGGCTACTTAACAATCTACTATATGGATAGCCAAGATTTTTTTATTTATTCATTAGTTTATTGTTTGCCTCTATTTCCTTTGTTCTTTTGAGATGGGGGTCTTATTTAGTCATAGCAAGTTTTAAACTTGCTATGTATCTGAGGCTATCTTTGGACTCCCACAGGCCAGTACCACCAAGGTCCACTCATCAATTAACCACTTGGTAGTTTGGTTGCTGTGAATGCTGCCATGACCCAGACATGGTGACACAGCTGTTGAATGGGCCAACACATGCCTGAAATCTTAGCATACAGAATGGGGGTCCTGGGTCTCTAACTAAAGAAAGGAACTAAAACAAAACAACTTTCTTTTGCATATAGACCCAGGAACATGCCAGATCGTATGGTCAGTGTGTGTGAAAGGCACCCCGACACTGTCTTCCACAAGACTTTGGGCAGCAGAGAGACTCCTATTAGGTTCCCAGCTCCCTCTTCCAAGCATCCTTCTAAAACTTAAGTTCTTTTCAAAACCCTTCAGAACATATCTAGGCCGTGCAGTGAGCACACCAGGCTTCCTGTGCTCTTAGTTGTCTCCTCACTCACGCACCCCAGGCCCCCACGCAATCATTCCCCTGGCTACCCACCCCAGAAACTTGCTATAGTGCTGCCAGGGCCATACAAATGCTCTGAGGTTATTTTTCATTCATTCAGCCATTGCCCATTTTGGTGGAAGGTGTTAATCATGGCCACCAAAGGGCTAAAAGGGAAACATTTCAACATTCTTCCTGGCCCACCCCTCTCCTGACCTAGTACTACCCTGTAAGACAGATTTGTTTGGTTTTAGGTTGGTTTTTCGAGACAGGTTTTTCTGTGTAGCTTTCAATGTCCTGGAACTAGCTCTATAGACCAGGCTAGCTTCCAACTCATAGAGATCCACCTGCTTCTGACTCCAGAGTGCTGAGATTGGAGGGGTGCGCCTAAGTCCAAGTTTGTTGCTACCCCCACCCCCAACAAAGTCCCAGAAGTGATGTGTTATATAGCCGCTTCCCTACTTCCCTAAAGAGCACTCACTCTACATTTGTTGTGTGGCTGAGGTCGGCTTAAACTGAGCCCCTACTCTCTGCCTTTCAAACGCAGGGGTCTCGCGTGCACCAACACTCCCCGCTCTTCTATTTATCAGCCCTTGGGAAGCGCTCACCTTTGGGTATTGTGAATATCGAAGCTATGAGCTCTCCAAATAACTCCCCTACCGCGAGGTTTTGATCCCCGCAAGTATCACAGGCAAGCTGGGCCTCAGTTTCCCATTAAAAGGAATAGATTTTCTAAATACGACTCTTTTCCCAGGCGGTACCTGAGGGGTGAGCTGCCAGGGCGGGTCCCTCTGGAGTTGTCTCTCACAGATAAGACAGGTCCGGATGCCCTTGCAGCCGCACTCCTGCGAACGTGAAACTTCGGTCGATGCCGCTGCCATAGCACCCTACGAGTACCTAGATCGCAAGCGTGAGGCGCCGGGGCCGCTGGGACTTGAAGTCTTCGCACGCGGAAGTAGGAGGCAAGGCTTGAGGCCGGCGTTCAGCTTCCTTCCGGTCGCCGCGGACTCTCAGAGCGTTTGCTGTGTGCCACTCCTGGGATCCGCGGCATCCGGCCTTGGTGACCAGACTTCGTGGAGGCGCGGCTTCGGATGAGTGCGCGGCCACCCATGGCTCCTCTCACGCCGCAACTGCTTCTGCAACGTGGGCGACCCAAGACCAACAGGCTGGGGAAGATTCAGAGTCTGAAGTAAGAGCAGGCGGATTTGAAGTGCATCCGGGGCGTGGAGTTTTTTTCCCCCGCCCGGGTCCTTTGGTGGGCGGGGTGCAATGCTCAGACCCCCTCCCTACCCATCTCCTAAACGGGTTATTCTGTTATCTGGGAGTCGGGTCCCTATGGAGCTTCTATCTGGCGCCAAACGGAGATGCGGGAGATACTGGCAGCCCCAGCCCGGAGTCAGGTGGAGCTGGAGCGAGCGTCCTTAGCCCTACGGAGGGTCCAAAGACTGTTTGTTGAGCACTCACTGGAATATTGAGGAATCCTGGGTAACATGTAAGGAGCCTGCAGGAACGAGTAAAAACAAGAAGAAAATTGGAAGCCTTAGGTTCTAAAGTCGTTAAAGTATCTAGTGCTCGAAAACCCCACCCCCACCCCCTCGCGAAAGACTTAACGGCATGCGTTTAGAGCTAGCCTGGGCTACTTTCTTTTTCTTTTTGGTTTTTCGAGACAGGGTTTCTCAGTGTTACAGCCCTGATTGTCCTGGAACTGGCCTTGAAGACCAGGCTGACCTCAAGCTCACAGTAATCCACCTGCCTCTGCCTCCCAAGTCCTGGGATTAAAGGCTGTGTCACCATGCCCAGCAACCAAAGATTCTTTAAGGGAGGGGAAGTCGGGCCAGAGAAATGGTTTTACAGCTAATGATGTCTGTCACCAAGCCTGAGTTCAATCCCTTGGACCCAGATAATGGAAGGAGAAAACCAGCTTCCTATAAACCTGACCTCCTTACCCACATTTTAGACCCTGCCAATCCATATACACATACCACACACAGATACATAGACACTCTATAATGAATACAAATGTAGTTTAGAAAGTGGGGAGTCGGAACTGCTGGTGGAGCTTAGTTGGTACAATGCTTACAGGATATGCCCAAAGCCTGAGTCTCCATAGATTCATCCCTACCACTACCTGAACCACCTGAGTGGTGGCACATGCCTGTCATCCCAGCACTTGGAGGTAGAGGCAAGAGAGTAAGTTCAGAGTTTTCCTGGACTACGCAATTGTGGATTGAGCTCTTGAGTTTTGAGGCCAGCCTATTCTCCATAGTTTAGGATATCCAAGTTAAAACAAAAGAGGTCCGTGCTTGCACAAGAACTTTCTTGGTGAAATCCCATCTGGGCAGATGGGTGATGAGGGGGAAGGGTCTGCTCAGACCCTTGAACTCTGCTCATCTCTGCCCTCACCCCAGTCTGTCCGGGCTGGAGCTGCTCTCAAAGCATTTGGATCCCAATCTCCTGGGGCGCCTGAAGAGGCTGAAGGAACTTGACCTCTCAAACAACTTGCTGGAGACGCTGCCTGCCAACCTGGGCCTACCCCATCTGCGAGTCCTTCGCTGCACCAACAACCAGCTGGGGGATGTCACCGCCTTGCACCAGTTCGAAGAACTTGAGGAGCTCAATCTAGAAGGCAACCCCTTCCTGACGGTGAGAGGGAGGTTCCACCAGCCCAGATACTTAGGACCAGGACTGTATGGGCAGACTCAACCTTTGCTACTTCTTTTGGGTTTTGTTTTGTTTTGAGTCAGGGTCTCATGTAGTACAGGCTAGTTTCAGATCAATTACGGAGCCACGGATGGCTTTGATCTTCTGGTCCTCCTGTCTTTGACCTCCTGAGTTTTGGCCATGATCCACCAGGCCAGGTTTATGCAGTACTGTAGATCAAACTCAAGGCTTTGTGCATGTTAAGCAAGCAGTCTGCTAACTGAGCTACATACCCACTCTGGTTTTTTGTTGTTTTGCTTGTTGGAGACAGAGTCTTGCCTTGTAACCCAGACCAGTCTCCAACTCACTGTCGCAGACTGGCATCAAACTCGAAACATCCCTACCACACTCTGCCTGAATATCCCTCCATCCTTTAGGTCAGTGACAACCTGAAAATCTCCTATCTCCTGCCCAAACTACGTAAGGTCAATGGCAAGGACACGGCCTCCACCTGCTCACAGGTGGAGAACATAGATCGGGAGCTGACCAACAGGGTGAGCATGATGGAAAGTTGATGGGGGCGGGAGTGGGGTGGGGGTGGGGGTCCTTGGTCATATCAAGTGGGTATTGAGTATAGAAGTGAATTTTCAGAGGCATGTAACAGAGATCCTTGCCCAGACAGCCTCAAGTCTGGTGTGTTGAGTCTGCTTTTTTTTTCCTTCCTTTGTTTGGAGACCCAGTTTCCAAGGTGTATCCAGCGGGCACTGCTGGATACCAGGGAGGCTAGTACTCTGCAGTGAGCCTTTTTTGCTGTTTGTTTTTGTTTTTTTGAGACAGGGTGTCTCTGTCTAGGTTTGGCTGTCCTGGAACTTGCTCTGGCCTTGAACTCACAGAGATTTACCTGCCTCTGCCTCCCGAGCACTGGGACTAAAGGTATATGCCACCAGTGCCCAGCAGTGAGCCATCTTTGGAGACAAGGTCTTTCTCATTATAGCCCAGATGACTCTTCTACCCTTGCCTCTCAAGTGTTGGGATTACTACCATGCCCAGTTGAACCAGGCTGGTTTCAAGTCATATGACCTTAGTTTATGCTAGCAGCAGAATAAGAGGTTATGCTTCCAGAAGCTTCCAGAAGGTGGTATAGTCAATACACTTTGTGGGCAGGAGGATATAGGGCAGAGGTGTTGTATATGGCCAGGAGACCAGGCTGGGCTGGGCCTGGATCTGGTCCCTTTTATGCCAGGTCACAGCTCACTGGGAGAAGTTCCTAGCCACCTCCAGCCCTGAAGAGGGAGCTGCCTTCACAAAGTCTGCAGTCAGGGATGTGTGTTATGGCCCTGAGTCTCTCAGGGAGTTCACCCAGTGGCGGGTATGTCATGGGGGTTGGGCTAAGGGGTTGGTTCCCCTGGCACTTCGTTGTCCCGGAGACGTCCCTGGCTCTGAAGGATTGGGGACACTTTGGGCAGTGGGATGGCTCAGGGATGGTAGCCCTAGTGCCTGGGGAGTTCCTTTCCTACCTCGAGAGGCACAAGCTCCATGGGACCAGGTGTTTGGGGAGAGCCTAAGGTCACCAGAGACTGCTCAACCTGCTGATGGCTTGGCCTTGACCAGGTACGGATGATCGCTGAGGAACTGGTAGCCTCAGGTGGGGCCCAGGTGCAGGAGTCGGACATACCAAAGGAGCCTCCACGGGCTGCAGCTGCCTCCAAGCTCAGGGTGAGTGTGTTCCCATGTGGCCCTGCGCCATTTTGTACTAGAACACAGAGGGTCCTCTATAGGAACTCAGCTGATGTCCAAGTATGTTAGCCTTCCCTTGCTGTGAACAAAACACCTGAAGTAATCAACTAAAAAGGAAGAAAGGCTCGTTTTGGTTAAGATTTCAGTCCATAGCTGCTTGGCTTCAAGGCTATATGTATTGTGGCCTCATACGGGTTGGGCTGTGAATCTTGTGGTAGCCAAAAAGCAAAGTGCCATGTTCCAGTGTCCCCTTCAAAAGGGTGCCTATCCAGTGACCCAAGTCCCTTCATCTACATTGTACTCCTGAGTAGCCCCATAGGCTGCTGACCCAGCCTTTTAACCTTTGGAGAACATTTTAAATGTCCAGCCCTAACACAGAATAGGTTCCCCCTATGGCTCAGTTCTTGTTTTCCAGCCTTTGAGAGGATATAAGTTCAACCTGTAGCCAGGGGAGGAAACCCCTGGGGCATGGTCACAAGGTTAAAAGCCCCCTATCTTCTTCAGGCCAGAACGGCCTCAAAACGGCCAGATAACGTTCCATTCAGCCTCCCTTCCACCAAGCGAGTGCGTGCCTCCCTCCCAGCCCAGACAGAGAGCAGACCTAGGGACTCTGGTGGAGACCAGGTAAGCTCTCCAGGTGGCAGGGGGAGTGTGCCAGAGGAGGCAGGCCAAGGGGCACCCATGACCACCTGTGCCCCCACAGGCTGCCCTGCACCTGGAACCCCTGCACTTCCTGCAGTGTCATAGCAGAAACAACAGCCCTAAGGACCTGGAGACCCAGCTGTGGGCCTGTGCCTTTGAGCCGGCCAGGGAAGAGGGTGCGTGCTTGGCTAATGGGCAGGGGGAGGCTTGGGTCACACAGTGGTGCTCAGCAGGAGACAAGATTTAAGATACCTGGGAAATTCAGTGAGTTGATCTCAAGATAGGAAGGGATGGAGAGCTGGCTTACTGGATAAGAATGGTTGCTGCTCTTGTAGAGGCATCTCCTAAGGGTGGCCTTCAATTGCCAGTAATACCAGCTCTAGGGGACTTGATGCCTCCTCCATCCTCCATCCCCTGCACTTATGTGCACCCCCATGACACATGTATATAGCCACTAATTTTTTTCTAAGATAAAAAGGCCATGGATGTAGTATAGTGGTAGAGTGCTTGCCTGTCATGTGTGAGGCCATGTGCCTCAAAAAATAAAATAAAATTAAGTGGCATGGAGGCCAGGAAGGACAGTAAGCAGGAACTTTACAAAAAAATATTTTTATGTGGCTGATCCCATAAAACAGGGCACTCAGGGGCCACATCCCAGACGGTGGCCACATGTGGCGGAGAGACTGTTTGTGTGATAGACTGCCAGACAGGCCTCGTACTCCATAAATACAAGGTACCAGGCGAGGTGAGTGCCAGCGTTCCCAAGACTGCTGGGTTCTGGCGTAAGAGCCCCGAGGGTGGAGGTCCATGCTACGCTGTTTCCTGTGAAGTTAGTTATCTTGGTGGGGATGGAACCCAGCGTCTCAGGCCCAATAAGAGGGCTTTGCCTCTGAGTCCTCAGGCCCTGTTTAACAGTGTTCAGCCACCCACAGCCCTCCTGGGAGCTCTGCGTTGTTGTTGTGCCTCACTACCCGAGGCTAGCCCTCCAAGCAGGTTGTTGCTTGTTCCCTGCTCATGACTGTTTCCTTCCTCCCACCCTCCTCAGGAGTTCTTCTCGGTGGCCTGGACCGCCCTGATGGTGGCCACCCAGGCAGGCCACAAGAAGCGCTGGAACATGCTGGCAGCTGCAGGCCTTCGGGGAATGGTCCGGCTGCTCCACGTGCGTGCAGGCTTTTGCTGCAGTGTTATCCGGGCTCATAAGAAGGCCATCGCCACCCTCTGCTTCAGCCCCACCCATGAGACTCATCTCTTCAGTAAGACCCTCGCCTCTGGGCTTTCCCAGCATTATAGTCTTTCCTGCTGTGGTAGCCTTGGTTCTCTTTTTGGGGGTGGTAGGGCTCAGGATGCTGGGCCCAGATGGCATTGGTTGGAAGTGAGGTAGCTTCTTGTCCGACCAAGATTTCCATTTCAGGTTTATTTCTACCGTGCTATGGGGCCTTGAAGTTTCCTGGCAACTCAGGCTCCTCTGTTTCTCTGTCTGGGACCAGGGGAGCTAATACTGCCCCTTGGATATGGTGAGCCCAACGAAGGTGACAGATGTGCTACAGAGATGGCTATGAAGCTGTGCACACTGGGTTCAGGCAGGACTGGGAATTGTGGGCCCATGAGTTCTTGTCCTAGCCATGGTCTGCCTTTCCTGCCTCTGATGAGCTGGTTGAAGGACCCACAGTCTCAATCTGCAAGAGGGACCAGGATCTTCTCAGGGATACCTCTCTCTTTCTCCATCCCCTCCTCAGCTGCCTCCTACGACAAACGGATCATCCTCTGGGACATTGGGGTACCCAACCAGGAATATAAGTTCCAGGCGAGGTGAGGCTATGGACTGGCCTGGAGAGGGGCGGACTCCTGAGGGTGAGTTCCATGGGCCACAGCTCATGGTTTTCACACATGTTGGCAGCCAGCTCCTCATGCTCAACTGCACTTCTGTGCCCTTGCGCCTCTGCCCTGTCCCCTCCTGCCCGGATGACTTCCTGCTGGCTGGCTGTGAGGGAGGCTGCTGCTGCTGGAATGTGCGGCTAGACCAGCCCCAGAAACAGAGGTGAGGATGCTGTGGATGCCTGGAAAGCTGGGCTCCACAGCTGGGTGCACATGGGCCCTGGGCACACCACAGTGCTGATTGATGGGCTGGGCTGCCCCAGAAGCCGTGTTCATGGTCTGTTCTCTTTAAACACCACACTACAATTATCCACCCGAGCCCTGGGCCTGTCACTCACATCCGCCCTAGCATGATGTCCACAGTTGTGGGAAAGACCAGTGATTTCTATCCCAGGGCTCAATGCAGGTAGTGTAGATAGGATGTGCACCTTTGGTGATGCACCTTTGTGGCTCATCTGTCTGTGTGAAAAACCCTGAGACCTTCAGCTTGGGGCTCCTGTCCTCGGGTGGGGGAATATGACATTAAACATGAGGGCTGGGGCTATAGCTCAGTCTAGCTGACTGAGCACACACGACACTCTAAGCACCACATAAACTAGGTGCAATGGCGCATGCCTGTTCCCTCAGCTCTTGAAAGGTTTAGAACACCAGGAGTTCATATTTATACCTTTAGTAAACACAAGGCACAGAGGTGTAAACTAAGGTAAAAACCTGCTAGCTTGGTGAGGTATATAAAGTAAACGTTCACAAGCCTGATTCTACAGCTAAAATGCTAGCTCTAAAGAAATCTCTGTCCTTTACCCAGTCTTAACCTTACTCTTGAGTCTTACCTTACTCCAAACCTATGAGGGCTCCATAAATCACTTTCTTGGAATACTGGGTTTTGCTTCTCTGTGCAAGCCCAGAAAGAAAATCCCTCTCTCTTATCTGGAGCTCCTCCACGGGGGCTCTTCCAAGCCAGAAAAGAGCTTGAAAATGTCCAATTGCTATCAAAGAATCCTCTAGCTTTTCCCTTACACCCTGGGCAGGCCGAACCATTGTCACTGTCACTGGTGCTGGGTTGCAAGCCAAGTCAATAGGGACAGCACCATTTCACCTTTAAGGTGGGGCAGCTCAGGGCCACCTGGCTGAGTTTGTCTTGGGTCATAAAGCAAAGACCTTAAGATTTCTCCCAAGCAATTTACCTTAAAATAGGAACTTTCCATTCTTTAGCATTGTCATCTATGGAGGGATTCAGAGACACACCCAAACTGCATCTGGCATCCATTTATAAATTTTGCTAATGAGTAGGTTTTCTCTGTACAATAATCAGACCCCCTGCAACAGGCCAGCAGTGGTGACAGGGGACTTGTGCAGAGAGCCTGGAGCTGTCAGAGAGGACAGCAGTGTGAGGGCGCCACTGGGGAACGCTAAGGAATCACTTTTGCTCAGCAGGTGGAAATGTCTCTGAGCAGTGAGGCTCATAGGCAGTGGTATCAGCAGAATTTGGTTTGTGCTGCCTGTCACAGAAGCCTATGAGCAGAGGTGGGATTTGAATATTAAAACTGTCCTTTATTGAGAGGGCCAGGAGGGAAAGCCTGAGGGGAATCTGCTTGCCCCCTGCTCCAGCTGTGGGGAAGTTTTCCCAATGCAAGGGTTACAGCTCTGCTCTGAAAGGTATCCTGGCAGACAGGAACACCACAAAGTCAAACCACACAGAAAACTTCACATAAGAGATTTATGGGGGGGGGGGGGGGACCCAGGAGGGTTGCCTCTGCTCATGCCAGAGGCAGCAGAGAACTGAGCAGATGGTGGAGTTCTATAGGTTCTTGGGGGTGGAGCTTCCCAGGATGGCAAGGGATGTGGTCTGTTCTTTGGGGCAAGCTCAGGGATTGCTGGGATTTTCTTTTCCTTGTAGGTCAGGACATGACCACTTACTGCCTTGAGGAGCCAGAAGGCATCTGTTAGAAAGCAGCTGTTAATTAATGGCTGTCAGGGAAGTCTAGGGGGTTGGAGTGGCAGACACTTTCTTGTGCCTTAAGGATTTATAAAGTCAGTACAGGGAAAGCTTGCATTGGTCTGAATAGCCAACACCAGTGAATCCCTCCCTTTCTACAGCTGTTCTGTCCTTGGTCCTGGGAGGGAGGGGTACTGAAAGCACCTTCTAGCTGTCAATTCTAGACGACCAGCCCTTCCTGACCCAGTGCTCCCATCCTGTGACTCCACCTATACACCCAGTAGATGCCCCCCTCCCCCCTTAGGACAAAGCTCTCTGGGCTGGAAACCCAGCCCTAAGCAGAACCACCACATGGGTAAGGCTAGGGTCTTCTGCAGGACATGCGAGGTGGACTTCGTCTTCTCTGAGGATTCCAAGGTGTCGGGACAGAGAGTGGATGGGCTGGCATTTGTGAATGAAGATGTGGTGGGTGAGTTAGTCCAGCTGGGACACCCTGGGCTTGGGCCTAGCTCTAAGGGTACTGAGGCCCCTGTTGGGGAACAGGGAAGTTGTGGTGACAGCAGGCCTGGGCCCTTATCTCCTCTGCAGCTTCCAAAGGGAGTGGACAGGGCATCATCTATCTGTGGAGCTGGAGCCAGACATGGGCAGGGCGGGGCAGCCAGTCTGTGCTGCCTGTGGTCATCCTGGCCCGGCTGCAGTGGTCAACTACCAATTTGGCATACTTCTCACTCAGCACCTGTCCCGGTGAGCCTGCCCATTCCACCCCACCCGCTTCCCACCCACCCCCTCTCCCCATCTCCATCTTAGGCTCCCATTTGTCCTGGTAGACAAAAACCTGGTGATGTGTGGGGATGAGGAAGGCAGTGTGTGGATCTATGACGTTGAACACCTACTGAAGCAGCCATCTCCACTGGCAACAACTCCGCAGGCCCCAACACAGGTACTGTTGCCACGTGGGCATCCTACAGATCCTGCCTGGCATCTCTGGGTTGCAGGAGCCTAGCGCCTTCTTTTCCCTTCTCAGATCCTGAAGTGGCCTCAGCCAATAGCATTGGGCCAACCAGTGACCAAGACCATGGTAAACACAGTAGTGGCCAATTCAGCCTTTACCTACCTCACTGCTCTGACGGATTCCAACATCGTGTCCATCTGGAAGTGCTGCTAGCTTGCACAGGGCAGCGTACCAGGACATGGCTTATTGGGGCTAGTGGTAGAGGTATTTGTACCAGTGAGTATTTTTATTAAATTCCATTGTGGACTAGAGGCCAGTGGAAAATGAGTATAGTCACGCAATCCCCACAGGGGTTCCTACCTTGATAACTCAGGCAGCCCCAGGCTCTGCCCAGCCTGTGGTTTGGGTTTCTGTGACAGGTCATCAAGTCTGATAGCCTACATGTTGCACACAGGCTCCTGCTATACTTTATTAGGAAAGTAACGGTCTATGTACAGAATGGGGCTGTGTCCAGTGTGCAGCTACAGAGAGCTTAAACTAGCTGTCCTCGTCGAAGGTACTAAGAAGGGCCCTGAGGACGTATGCACCAGCCTTACAGCCATTAAGCAGTGCTTCACTTTGCTACTCAATCCCTTCTTGCTTGTCCTTGATGGCCACCTGAAGAGGAAGGACAAAGGCAGTGAGGACAATGGAATGACCCAGCATCTCCAGCTTGTAAGGCACCAAGAACCTGGTGCTTAGTCCCCCCAAATGCAGCACTTCCGAGAGTACAGACAGTAGAAGGCAGGCCAATTAGCAGAGGTGTCAGAGTGCCTCAGCCGGCTCCACCCATCCTGCTCTGTGGCACCTGCTTGCTGAGGGTTGGGGATGGAGCCAAGTGGGATACCCAGCAGGGTGATATCTCACACTGAGGGTTCCTGGCCAAGAACTGTGACTCCTACCCTGGGATGGACTGCTACTAGACAAAAGCCCTGAATCTCAGGGGCCTTATGAACCAGAGTAGCCAGTGGCAAAGGGAGAGATTTTTGGTGTTTTGTTGTTGTTTCAGGGTGTTTGTTTTCTGTTTTTGGTGCTGGGGATGGTACTCAAAGCCTTGATTGAGTTGGGCAAACATTGAACCACTAAGCTATGCCCCAACCCTCACTAGGGATTCTAAGTGTGTTGGGGCAGCTCTACTACTGAATCATGTAGCACACAGCCCACCCCAGTTCCTCACCCGGAATCGTTCCTCCAGAAGGGAGAGCTCACTGATGAGGTCTGTGATGGCATTGGTGAAGGCCTCCTGAGGGCTGTAGTCTGGGGTGGTCTGTACACGGATGATGATCTTGTGCTCCAAGGGGTGAGGGACTTTGTAGCCGGCAAACAGCACCTGTGGGTCCTTCAAGAGCTGGCTGAGAAATGGAGGGTTCACTGTGAGGTCGGTCAGACCTGGCAGGCTTACTAACCAAAGTATCCCCTCACCCTGAATAAAGCAGGCCTTCACCTCAGCTCCTCAGGAGGACTGTAAGGTCAAGGGCAACCTCGGCAAGTGAGGCTATCCTAGGAAGTCAAGAGGGCTAGGGATGTAGCTCAGTGGTAGAATAGTTGCCTAGCATGCATGAGGCCTGAGGTTCCCTCCCAACACTAGGGGGACAGGGAAACCAAGTTAAAGGGACTCAAAACCATACAGAGACCCTGTTATGATGGCACCCTTTATCACAGAAGTTGAGAACCTCTTAAGTGGCTGCAGGCTATACCTAAGCCAGAACATTCAAGGCCCCATCTCTAGGTACAGGAGGCAGGTACAGTGAGAAGAGGAGGGCCAGGCTCTCTCAGTCCCCAGGTGGCTGGCTGTATATTCAGCCCTTTTCCACAGCTGAGAGAGGTCGAGAGCCTAAGGTCATGTGCTCTTACTGGCCCCTACCACATACCTGAAGAGCTATAGATGGGAGCTGGGATACTGACTGCTTTTCAAGAGGCCCTGGCTTTAATTCCCAGTACCCACATAATGGGCAGCTCACATCTAACTCTAGTCCCAGGGGATCCAACACTCCCTTAAGGCATCTAAGGACGCCACATGGTACACAGATGTCCATGCCATATACGCACGAGCTGCAGGTTAGGCTGGAGAAATAGCACAATGGTGGAGCACCTATTGCTCCTGTAGAGTCAGGGGGCTCACGCCTGGCTTTAACTCCAGCCCTGGGGATTCAACAACCTCTCCTGGCTTGCTCAGATACACACTCATACAATATATACTTCTTTTCTTTTTTTTTTTAAGCTGCAGGTTGGACTGGAGAAGTGGCTTAGCAGTTAAGAGCACCCACACTGCAGCTAACAACCTGTTCTGGGAGATCTAGTGCCTTCTGACCTTCCTGGTAACAGGCACACATGGTAGACATACAGAGGCCAAACTCTGATAAAAGATTTCATAAAGGTCATGTACTGTAGCCAGGTGTGGTGGCGTGTGCCTTTAATATCAGCACTTGGGAGGCAGAGGCAGTCGCCTTACTGTGAGTTTGAGGCTAGGCTGGTCTACAAAGTGAGTCCAGGACAGCCAAGGCTCTACAAAGAAGCTCTGTCTTGAACCCCCCCCCCCCAAAAAAATCATATGCTGCTCTTACAGAGGACCAAAGTTCAATTTCTAGCACCCAGGTCATATGGGAGACATCTTTAACTACAACTCCAGGGAATTCAATATCTCAGAGAACACCAGTACTCACACCCAGGGACAGAAATACAAGTAATTTTTTAAAATTTGGAGGGTAGTTGGGTAGTGGCGGCAAACACCTTTAATTCCGGCACTCAGGAGGCAGAGGCAGGTGGATCTCTGAGTTCAAGGCCAGTGCCAGGGTACACAGAGAAACCCTGATTCAGAAAAAAGTTGGAGGCTAAAGAAAAGTTCTAGGCATCACAGGTTTCCATCAAATGTAGGGGGTTGGGGTCAGGTGAGGGGGGATAGTCCTGCTGGTTTTTGGTTTTGTTTGTTTGAGACAGGGTCTCTAGCTCTTGGCTATCCTGGAGCTCACTATGTAGACCAGACTGGCTTTGAACTCACAAGAGCCTCTGCCTCTCAAGTACAGGAATCATGGGTGTGTTCCATAATACCCAGCACCTGCTGCCCTCTTGATGCCTGTTAAAATGAAATCCCGCTTTGCTGGAGCTCCCTGACTGGCTCTTGGCCAAGAGGCAATTGCTGGGGCTTTCTGCACAGCTTAGACTGCATAAACCAGCCAGCACACATACCTGGAATCTCAGCACTTGGAAGGTAGAGGTGAGAAGGATCAGGAGTCTCTGATCAGGGCATCCTCTGTTACATAGGGAACCTGAGGCCAGCCAACCTTACTTAAGACCAGGCATCCAAAAGTCAGCATAGAAACAAGCCTTGTGTGACCAGACCAGTAAGTGCCAGGTTGGGGGAAAGAACCTGAACTGAGAGTAGGCTGAGGAGAGACAGGAAGATGCTGTCATAGGACGCATGCTCAGCCTACAGAGCCCAGTGATACCCCAGAGGGCCTCTGGCCTGGGACTTACGATTTAATGATGTTCCCTAGAGTGTGGTCTTCTTTGTTGATGGTGAACAGGCAAGCATTGGGCACCTTAGTGTCCTTGTTAATGGTGATTCTAGAAAGAGAAGGAGGCAACAACTGAGGGTGACTGCTCTCCCAAGCCCACATCCAGCCATGTACCCTAAGGGTCAGAATACCCCCTCTGTGGTCAAATATCATTGACCTGGGCTGTTTGTACTACCTTGTAAAGTAAGGCACGCAGCCCTTTTGACATATGCACTGAACAGTAGCTTTAAACTAGTGTGACTAAATTCTTACCTACAAGAACCAACTGGACATGGTGGCGCACACCTTTTTCCCAACTCCTGGGAGGCAGAGGCAAGTGGATCTCTGAATTTGAGGCCAGCTGGGTTTACAGAGTGAGTTCCAGGACAGCCAGCTACATAGAGAAACCCTGACTTGAGAAAACAAAACAAAAACCAAGAGCCAGGAGGCACTTAGTCCCTAATGCCCCCAACAATCAAGGCAAGTCCAACTCCATCTTTCTGTAAGCTCTGCTATCCCCGGCTGTATTGAACATAGGGTTTCAAGCATGCTAAGCAAAGCCCTCTACCACTGAGCTACAGGTCCAGCCTTTGGAAATAGTTTTCAGTCTGCTCACCCGTATAGGACCCTTTTGAGAAGTCTGGTATAGTTCAATGGTTGACTACTGAATTCACATGTATAAGGCTCCAGGCTTCATCTCTATCACTACCCCCGTTCAAACAAGTTAGGCCTGTCTGGTAGCACAGACTGGTAATCCCAGCAACATGGGAGGCTGAGGCAGGAGAGCAGAGAAAAACCTCAGCTGTCACCCTTACCTTTCTCTTTGCTTAAGGTAGGGTCTCATTTGCCATTGGATACACCATGCTAGCTGACCCTCTTATCTTCACGTCCCTGGAGGAACACTGGAAGCAGACACCCAGCAGTTTTGACACAGGTTCTGGGGATCTACACCAAAGTCCTCAACAAATGTCTTGCCCACTGAGCCATCTCCCAGCCTACCAAAAATTGTAAAAAAGTGAGGGAAAAAAAGAGCTGGAGTATAGCTTGGTGATAAAGCACTAGTTAGCATGGGGCAAAGCCTAGGGTCAATCCTCAGCACCATAAAGAAAAAAGCCAAACAAGAAACCACTTCTACCCCATGGGGCATCTTTATATGAGGGAACACCTACTAAACGATTTTTTGTTTTTGTTTTTTGAGACGATTTCTCTGTGTAACCCTGGCTGTCCTGGAACTAGCTCTGCAGACCAGGCTGGCCTCCAACTTGGAGATCTACCTGCTTCTGCCTCTCGAGTTCTGGGACTAAAGGTGGAGTAAAATCCACCGTCTGGCTAAGGATGCTCCTTTTTACCAAAGCAGAACTTCTCAGTACACAAGTATTTACTTTGTTCATGCCTGTGTGGTGAGAGAGATCAGAGGACAACTTGTAAATTGTCAGTTCTCTTCCTTCTACCATACTGATCCTGGATATTGAACTTAGGTCATCAGGCTTTTCTGTGGATGCCTGTACTTGAGCCATCTTGCCAGCCTGGTACCTGGACATTTTAGACCCAATTTCCCTTTTCTGACCAAGGGTCGTTAACAGCATCCCTTGCCTCTACCCACCAGATGCCACAGAAGCCCCATTAGGACATATATTTTCAGACACGGCCAAATGCTCTTGCCAGTGGGGCAACAACAGGCATCTGAGAACATACTCTCAAGGGAAGCTGAAGGAGCTATCAAAGGTCAAACACAAAACTCTGCATAGAAGTCTCATGGGAATGAGAAGTGTCAGTTATGGGTCTGCAGTGTATACTGTGCACTGAACAAACTCGAAAAATCTCCTTGAAGAACTTCATTATTGACTGTGACCGATTGATAGATGAAATGAGCCTTGTGCATGCTAGGTAAGCAATCTACCACAGAGATCTACCCCCCCCTCTCTCTCTATATATATTTTTTTGAGATAGGATCTCACATTAGCCCAAGCTGATTTCCAAGAAGGGGGGAACACAGGAAAGGGTTAGGGTTAGGGTTTCTTAGCAGCCCTTTGAGACGTAACTTGTCTGTCACCAAAAGAGTGCATCTGGCTACCATTAAGACAATTACATGCAGGCAGAGCCAGCGGCTCCCGCCTCTAATCTCAGCACAAAGACAAGTGGATTTCTGAGTTTGAGGCCAGCCTGTTCTACAAAGTGAGTTCCAAGACAGCCAGGGTTCCTACATAGAGAAACCCTGCCTCCAAAAACCAAAACAAAGACAATTAGATGCTTACTCTCTCTTGGAGAAGTCTGTACGTTTTATTTTACCATACGCTCTGAATGCACATACACCCAACCTGAGTGTGTCTCACTTTTTTTAGCGCCTCTTTCTCTGAACCCTCATGCTTAAGCCCATATTAAAATAGTTTTAATAAACACCAGTAATCGTGCTTCACTAAACTGGTTAGTCCTGAAGTTATTTTTTAGGGTGGAAGCCACGACCCCAGGTGTGGCCTCAGTCCCTAAAAATCTATGGGAAATCCTCAGTCTGCTGAAGAGTGTGCTAGCTGTGTCTTTTTCACAGCTGCCATCATGAGCCTCCTGCCCCAATAGCCAAGTGACTCGGTGTCCTCGAGCCTCAGTTTTCCCACTGCAAAACGCATGCACTCGCCAGCGCCTGAAGTCAGGGAAGCACGCACGGAGCAGAATAGAATGTTCCAGGCAAAGCCCGCTTCGGTTCCCTCTAGGCAGGAGCAGCACGGCGCTCCGCCGAAGCTGACGGCCAGCGGGCTCCTATACTACCGTCCCCGCCTCAGCCGGCCTCCACTTACTTCTTCTCACCCTCGAAGAGCAAGAACGACTCGAAGGCCGGAGGGGCGTTCATCCTAGCGCCGCGCTCTCCGCCTCAGACTCCAGCCGCAAGCACCACAGCGCCCCGAAGCGCGATCACTTCCGGGTTACTCAGATGCAGCCAATCAGACTAAGCACCTGGGCCCGCGCCCTCTGGCGGGCCGGATGATCCACTTTACGCAGGCGCAGCAAGGCCGAGCGAGAACGCAAGCTATGCGCATGCGTCAGTCTAGAATCCTGGTCTGCTTTCACCAGGTGGGGAAGGAGCTTGTGGTGCCGGTTGACCCTCTCTTGGGCATACAGGTAACTAAACACGCCATGTCACCTTTCCATTTTTCAGTGGTTTCTGTGGCAATCAGTCTTTTTTATTTTTTCTATTTTTAAAGATTTCTATATACAGCCGGTGCGGTGTCGCACGCCTTTGATTCCAGCACTCTGAGGCAGAGGCAGGTGGATCGCTGTGAATTCGAGCCCAGCCTGGTGTACAAAGCCAGTACAGGACAGCTAAGGTTATACAGAGAAACCCTGTCTCCGAAAACACAAACAAACAAAAAAGATTTCTATTTGCATGTCTCTGTGGGCAGGCGTATGTAGGTGCCTTTGGAGACCAAAAAAGGGTTGGGTCCTTTGGCGCTGGAGTTACAGGTAGTTGTGAGCCACCCAAAGTGGGTGCAGAGAACTGAACTCCAGTCCCCTGCAGGACGAATAAGGTTCTTAACTGCTGAGCCATTCCTCCAGCCTCCATGATGGTTCATCTTGACAACCTGTTGAACTTTAGAATCATCATGGAAACAAACCTCTATGTGGGGCCAGCAAGACAGCCCAGTGGGCAAGGGCAGTGTCACCAAGCCTGACTACTTAAATTCAGTCCCCGGGACTCGTGTGGTACAAGTTGAGAACCTCCTTCTATGCACTGTGGCATGTACTTGCACGTGTGTACGTACACTATATAATAATAATAACAACATAATAAAGCCGTTGGGTGTCTTTGAGATTATGGACAGACGTGACTGTGGAAGGGAGACTTAACCATCCTAGCTGCTAAGGTCTGAGACTGAATAAAAGATGAAAGTAAATCATCTTATTGTTTCCTGGCTACAGGTGCCTGGCACTCCTGTTGCTATGACGTCTGCACTGCTATGAACTGTACCTTCTTTAAGATGCTTCTGTCTGTTTGCATTTTTTTTTGTTGTTTTTTTTTTTTAGGTGGTTTTGTTTTGTGTTTGTTTGTTTGTTTAAGGCAGGGTTTTTCTGTGAAGCCCTGGCTGTCCTGGAACTTGCTCTGTAGACCAGGCTGGCCTCAAATTCACAGATCTGCCTGCCTCTGCCTCCAGAGTGCTGGGATTAAAGGCATGTGCCACCAGCGCCAGGACTTCTGTCCAGTTTTTAGACACAACAGGAACAATAGCTAGTACAGACTCAATCTCCCAGGAATTGGAAACACAGGCATGAGCCACCCTATTCGTTGGTAGGTGAGCTACCCGCATCACCGTATAGCATGGATAACGCAAGTGTCCCAGGAAAGAAGTGAAGACAGTGATGTCAGGTCCCAGAGGGCTCTGGAGCCCTTCACATCCTGGGTCACACTCACCCTCGCCTCTGCATATCGGCTTGTCGCTCTGGAGTTTCTCAGATACTCCATCCAGTCATATCTAGGCCACCTCATCCACCTTCAAGGCTGAAGGTGCAAAGATAATGCAGGCCTCTAGCTCAGCTCTTATGTCTCCTTTCTTTTTTCTTTTTCTTTCTTTCTTTCTTTTCTTTTTCTTTTTTTTTTTTTTTTTTTTTGAAACAGGGTTTCTCTGTATAGCCTTGTGTGTCCTGGACTCACTTTGTAGACCAGGCTGGCCTTGAACTCACTGAGATCTGCCTGCCTCTACCTCCTGAGTACTGGGATTATAGGTGTGCACCACTACCGCCCACTTTATGTCTCCTTTCAAACTGGAAGAAGGGGAGGAAGAACAAACAAAAGATACTGCCTGCATCCCAAGGTTCTCCAGTCATGGCCCCAAGCTTGCAGTCACCTTAGATTCTAGGAACAGCAGAGCCTTGACAGATTACTCCAGGAGGACATCAGTAGGATTAATAATCATCTCACAGAAAAGAGTTTGACTCTTCAAGCAATAAGGATTTCTTCAGGCCAACCCGGGAACCAGAGCTGTGATGATGAGAAACCATACCTCACCTTGACCAGTACCACTTAATTATGCATACCCCCTCAGTCCCTGTCTCAGTGCTTTCCCTATCTAACCAAAAGCTCATGTAGTGCCCACAGATAGACTTGGGAGTGTTACCAGAATTCCTTCCCCAATTGGACTTCACATCTACTCCTCTTCATGAGGTTCCCTTGATAAGCCAAAGAATAGTTCCACCACGGTTACCCCTTGGGGAACCAATGAGGTTCTCAGACATACAGAGCATAGTGAGGGATTGCTGACAGTATGCAGGACCCCAAAGAAGTCTTCACCTAGCATGTGTGATGGCTTTCCCAAGGTCACATAGATAGAACCTCTCCTGTTAGCCTTCCATAGCCTATGTACTCAAGCACTTTCCTGAGACCCCCAAGAGCAAGTGCAATTAGAGCAGATGACCCTCCTTATCCATTCCTATGAGGGAAAATTAGCAGACATATGTAGTGGGATACATGTGTAATTTAATATATTAATATAGAATATATGTAAATAATATATTATTTAATTTTATTCTCTGTGCATTGGTATATAGGTGTCAGAATCATGGAACTGGAGTTATAGATAGTTGTTAGCTGCCATATGGGTGCTGGGAATTGAACCAGGGTCCTCTGGAAGAACAGACAGTGCTCTTGACCACCACTGAGCCATCTCTTCAGCCCCCAGTGGTAGACTTGCAGGCAGCCACAACTGATCTAATAATGATGGCTGCTTTGCTTGGTGGATGAATTTTCTAACTGGAAGTCACTGGACGCTCCCCCCCCCCCTTTCTGTTGTTTTTTTGAAACAAGGCTTCTCTGTGTAGCCTTGTCTGTCCCAGACTCACCTTGTAGACCAGGCTGGCCTCTAAATCACAATCTGCCGCTGCCTTTCTGAGTGCTGGGATTAAAGGCATGCACCACCACCTTGGGCTGCTGGGAAAATAGTTGAACAGGCCTAGTCAAGAGTTAATTAGTTTGCCAGGACTGTATGAGGTGGCCCACGCCTGTAATCCCAGCACTCTGGGAGACAGATGCAGGCAGCTCTCTGTGAGTTTGAGGCCAGCCTGGTCTACAGGACCAGGACAGCCAAGGCTACACAGAGAAACTCTGTCTTGAAAAAAACAATAATTCCAACAGTGCTAGGGTGCTGTGGCTTAGCACTAGACCTCCTTCTGAGAACCTTCCGCTGAGGGGTTGGGGTGTGGCTCACATTAAGCATCTTCCCCCCCAATTTGCACAACTCGGGTTCAGACTCAGGAACCCAGGCCCTCCCACAGGCTAGACAACCACACTCATTTGGCTGGTTTTTGTTTTTATTGAGACAGTCTCAAACTGTAGCTCATAAGTGGTTTCAAATTTGAAATGCTTCTGTCTCGGCTTCCTGAATGCTGGGAATACAGGTATGTGTTATTGTGCCCAGCTTCTGACTAAATTGCTTATGGCCCTGGGCATGGAACCCAGAGCCTTATGTGCCAGGCAGATGCCCTACCACTGAACTGTATTTACTGACTGAGAGTAGTTTTGAACACACCATGTGAATTTGCACATGGTGGCTCAGGCCTGTACAGCCAGTACTTTGGGGATGGAGTCAGTAGGATCAGTTCAAGATCATCCTCAGCTACACAGTTGAGTTTGAGGACATCCTGGACTATATGAGACACTGTCTCAAAAATAAAGGGACGAGAGAAGTGAGTGGTGGAGTGCTTGCTGAGCACACGTGGAACCCTGAGTTTAGCTCTCAGCACTGCATAAACTCTGCATGGCTCACACCAGTAACCTCAGTACATGGGAGGTGGAGGAAGGAAGATCAGGAGTTCAAGGTCATCCTTGGCTGTATAACAAGTTTGATGGCATCTGGGTTATATGACAAACCCTGTCTTAACTCTTCCAGAAAAAAACACATAATAATAATATTATTAATAATAATAATAATAGTAATAATAATACACCAGTTGAATTGGGAGCTGGACATCCCCTGAAGAGTTTAAGTTAGCCTGGGTATAGTGAGCCTGGGTATAACTCCACTTTGAAATAAAAAGCCGTCTTGACTGGGAGCTCAATTCAGGTACCTGGAAATATCACAGAATGTACACTTGGTAGAAAACAAAGTTAACTCTCCTAGCAACAGCCTCCAGGAAATATCACAGAATAAACACTTCATAGAAAATAGAGACAATCTCCCTGGCAATAATCAATGAGAACTGGTTGAAAAATTCTCCCCAATGTTTCAGATATAGTTTAGAATAATAGCCATTGTGATTATAGTTTAGGCAATTGTGATTCAGAGGTCACCTCGCCCCTCTAACTTTTACTTAATCCTGTAACATCAAGGCATGTCTCTCCCCCCCCCCCGCTATCATGGAAACCCCCTGCTCACAGACTTTCCCTTTAAGAACCCTGCTCACTCAGGGCTAGGGGTCCCACTTTTCTACTGCTGTGTCAGTGAGACTTGGGTCCTGAGTTTGATTGCTCTCATAATAAAGCTCTCTTGCTATTCCATCAAGTCGTCTCCTGGTGGTCTCCGAGGGTTCCGTGAACCTGGCATTACACCCCTTACTCCTTCCTCTGGCAGGAGCAGAACTGCAGCCAGGGGCCACTTCTGTGGCAAGGCTTCCCATTTAGGGACAACATAGAAGGAAGATGTTGGCTGAGTCTGTCTAGATCAGCTGTTTTCAACTGGTAGATCTTCACCCTTTTAGAGGTCAAATGACCCTTTCACTTAAGACCATCGGAAAACCTAGATATTTATGAGTTTCAACAGTAGCAAACAATTTTTTTCTAGACAGGGTTTCTCTGTTAAGAGAAACTTGTTAAGAGCCTTGGCTGTCCTGGACTTGCTCTGTAGACCAGGCTGGCCTTGAACTACAGAGATCCACTTGTCTTTGCCTCCCAAGTGTTGGGATTAAAGGTGTGCACCACCATGTCCAGCTAACAGTAGCACAATTTATAAAGTAGAAATGAAAATAATGTTATGGTTGGGGTCACCACAACATGAGGAACTATATTAGAAGGTGACAGCATTGGGAAGGTTGAGAAGCACTGCTCTAGATGGACACTTCCTGGGATTCTTTTTCTTCTAAGGCATGAATGAAGGCCCTGCCCACCCACACTTGAGAGCACTAGTCCATCATCCACAAAAGCAGCACAGCACATGGCCTGGGTATCATGGGGAAAGACAAGGAAATGACAGGGGCTCTACCCACTCCCACCCCAGTGACCCCATCCCCAATCTAGCTGCCCATCAATTGCAGCTCTGCATCCTTCTCTAACCTTAGCAGAGTGACTGGAAACTTGGCTTGGTAACCCATAGAAGATGAAAGGGGGCCCCGTGACCCTGTGCAGTCTGTAGGGATGCTCTGAACAAAGGGGCTTGCTGTGGTGTCCCAGCTTCTGGCTGGGAAGACCCATCGTGCTCCACAGTTTACAAAATGGAGGGGTGTGGAGAGGATCATGGGATAGCAGTTGGGAATCTAAACAGGCCTGGCCCCAGGAATAAAAAAATGACCTGCAGAAAGGCCATGCTGGTGACCCCAGTCCTTGGTCAAACCCCCATCCCCATATAGGGTCCCCTGAATTCATGCTTCCTTGGACCCCACTGCAACACGTCAGCACCTTGGCAGTCAGGGCACATTTATTAGTGGCAGCAGAGTACTGTGACACCCAACCTAGGAGGTCAGACAGTGGTGATGGCTGAGAGTGAGGCAATGCAAGGTGGACAACCTGGCCTCCTGGGGTTGGGTCTGTCCTTGGTGAAGACTCTGGGTCATGGGGATTACAAAAGCAGTAGATCTCCCAATGAAGCAAGTGCCACTGTTATCCCCCAATAGTTATGGACAAGGCCATGTTGGGCCACAGCCCTCACCAGGATGACTGGGACAAGGATCCTGAGCAGGTCAGGGATCTCCAAACACCTGACAGGGGCTTCATGGACACCTCACGTCTGTAGCTCTAGAAGTCGATGGGGCTCTCTGGGTGGTGGGCCAGCCAGGCTGGAGCTGTGGGCATCTTGAAGGTCTTGTAGCACATGAAACAGCTGGGCCAGTGGGTCCTCGGGAGCTGAGTGCAGATACATTGTGAGGTGGGCAGATATGGCTCCAGGGGTCCAAGAGAGGCCCTACCCATGTGTCCCTGTAGGCAGCTGAGGCCACCAACCCAAGTTCCAGGTGAAAAGGACCTACCTCCACCACGTCCTGTAGGTGAGATGCCTGTTTCTGTTTCCCCACTCAGTATCCGGTACTTCTCCCTGCAGAGGAAGGCAGCTTGAGGGCCAGCAGCCACACCTACCTTGCTGGAACTACTAAAGATGTCACATGGGCTCCCTGAGCTGGAGGTGGCTCTAGGGTACAAACAGATGCTTCCAGTCTACAAGGAATAAATACAGGCCCAGCTTCCTCTTTTCAACTTCCAGCCATATTCCTCTGCTGCCCACTATTCAAATATGGATAGGCCAGAAGCCTCCCCCATCCTCCACACCTTTTAAAGCTGTTCTCACCATACAGTCAAGCCTGATCTTGAAATTGCAATCCTCCTGTCTCAGCCTCCCTAGTGCAGGGGTACAGGTGTGACCACCATGCCTGGACAGAAAGCCAACAAACCAAGCCAAACTGTGTCACTCTGGGTTTGTAGAGACAGTGGGAAATAAGCCAAGTGAAGGTTCCCAAATGCCAGTTTTGGGAGGAATTTAGGTGTGGAGCTGGATTGAAAGAGCCCAGAGTTTTTTGTTGTTACTGTTTTGGTTTTTCGAGACAGGGTTTCTCTGTGTAGCCTTGGTTGTCCTGGATTCACTTTATTAGACCAGGCTGGCCTCACACTCACAGAAATCTGCCTGCCTCTGACTCCCTGAGTACTGGGACCACAGGTGTACACCACCACAGCTAGTTGAAAGATCCCAGTTTTGTTTTGTTTTTCTTCACAAGTATTCCTTCCACTGTGCTATACTCCTTGTTATTTTATGTTTCTTGTTTGTTTTGTTCTTGGGTTTTTTTGTGAGTGTTGTTTGTTTTTGATACATGGTCTTTTTTTTTTTTTTTTTTTTTTTTGATACATGATCTTACTATGTAGACCTCTCCTTCTCTGCTTTTCAAGTGCTGGCATTAAAAGCATGTGCCACCACACTTAGCTGTTTTGGTTTTTGAGACAGGGTCTTATATGTCCCAGGCTAATCTTAAATATAACAGAGGGGCTGGAGAGATGGCTCAGAGGTTAAGAGCACTGTCTGTTCTTCCAAAGGTCCTGAGTTCAATTCCCAGCAACCACATGGTGGCTCACAACCATCTATGATGAGATCTGGTGCCCTCTTCTGTTGTGCAGGCAGAATACTGTATAAATAATAAATAAGTAAATCTTTAAAAAATATATATATAACAGAGGAAATCCTTGAACTTCTCATCATCTTGCTTCTACCTCCAGAATGCTGGAACTATAGGTATGAGCACTGCACCTAGCTCAAAGGATTTTTGTTGTTGTTGTTTTCTTTGGGGGGGGGGGATAGGGGTATTGAGACACCGTTTCTTTGTGTAGCCCTGGCTGTCCTCAAAATGGCTCTGTAGAACCAGGCTGGCCTTAAACTCAGAGATCTGAATGCCTCTGTCTCCCAAGTGCAGAGATTAAAGGCGTGCACCATCATACCCAGATTTTAAAGAGTTCTTAAGAAGTTATTGTTTTATGTGTATAAGTGTTGTCTGTATGCATGAACATGTTTCTGCACCACATGCATGCATGCCTGGTACCCACAGAGGTCAGGAGAAGGTGCCACATCCTCCTGGAACTGGAGTTGTAGACAGTTGTGAGCCATCAGGTTGATGCTCTTAACAGCTGAGCCATCTCTCCTACACAAGCTTTTGAGAGAAGACGAAAACCCTGGAAGATCCCCGAGCAACAGGAAGGAGCTTTGAATCATCTACTCCTTTTGTGTAGCCCAGGAGAATGCTCTAGGGAGCTGGATGGCCTTAGTGCATTTTCCAGCCTGGCTCCTCCCAGTGGTTCAGTCAGTGGAGCCCAGATATCCTGTTCTGCAAAGCTGTTTTAGAAAGCAAGCTGATTTTACCCCCTAAGGTTTATAGTCAAGTCTAAAAACTTAATTAGCAAGATAGGCCAGGAACTCATAGAATTAGCTGAGGGTGAACCAGCTGAGTGTTCTGAGGCCATCTCCAGAAGGCTGGGAAGCTGGGGTCAAATTAGCACAGGAAGCAATTGTGGCCATGACTCCTCACACCCTAATAGGAGATGACCTCATGATGCAGACAGGCAGTGGGAAGGTGCTTTGGCCTCATTAGAAGAGAGGTAATGCAGGACCGGCAACGGCAACATGTTTCAGCAAGAAAAGCTGCTTGCTGCACAAGCCCATGGACCTGAGTTCAATCCCTGAGACCCACATTAAAGTGGAAGGAGAGAACTGACTCCATAAGTTGTCCTCTAACTCCACATGTAGAATACAGAAGCACATGCCCCCATGGACACACTATATAAACCCAAAACAATAATAAATAAAAAGAGATGACCAAGCTGGGTATGGTCACGCAAGCCTGTCACTTGAGCTACTTGAGAGACTGAGACAGTCAATCCTGGGATGTATTGCAAGACCCTAAGGACCAAGGAGACAGCTCAGTGGGTGTTTGCCTTGTATGAGAGAGAACCCTAGTTTGATTCCAGAATCCTTGTAAAAGAGTCAGGCATGGCAGTAAGTGCTTGTAATCCCAGGGCTGGGGAGGAGGCAAAGATAGGATTGCCAGGCAGCCAATCTTGTCAAAACAGTGATCTCAAGGCTAATCAGAGATCTTGTCACAAAAATACAAAAACAGCCAGGCAGCAGTGGCGCATGCCTTTGATCCCAGCACTTAGGAGGCAGAGGCAGGTAGATCTCTTGAGTTCAAGGCAAACCTGGTCTATAGAGTAAATGCCAGGACAATCAGGGCTACACAGAGAAACTCTGTCTTCAAAAACCAAAAACCAAAACCAAACACAGGAGGAGACTGGAGAGATGCCTCAGTAGTTCTCTTCCAGAGGGTCTGGGTTGGATTCCCAGTTCCACATATCAGGTGGCTCACAACCACCTAAAGACTCCGGTGGGATCCAGCATCTGGCTCCTGAAGGCACCTGCACTCATGTACACATCCTTGTACATAGATACACATACAGACACACAATTTAAAACAATTAAACTGAGCTAGAAACAAAAGGGCTTAGATGGCTGGAGAGTGGTTAAGAGTATACACTGCCCTTCTAGGTGACTGAGTTCAGTGCAGCGCTCACATCGGGCAGCTCACAATCTGCAACTACAGTTCCAAGAGGTCTCATCCCCTCCTGCGGCCCCCACAAACACCTGCACACATGTGGCATAGGGAGGTGTACACACATGAAAATAAAAATAAAGATTTTTTGTTTGTTTGAGACAAGGGCTCACTGTGCAGCCTTGGCTGGCCTCAAACTTGCTATGTAAACCAGCCTGGCCTCCAACTCATAGAAATCCTCCTACCTCTGCCTCCTGAGTGCTGGGATTAGAGGGCTGCATACCACACTTGGATAAAAGTAAATCTTAAAAACATTAAAAGAAGAAAGAAAAATAAAACATAAGAAAGTGGACAGCTGCCAGGCAGTGGTGGTGCATACTTTTAATCCCAGCACTCAGTAGGCAGAGGCAGGCAGATCTCTGTAAGTTCATGGTGAGCCTAGTCTACAGAGCAAGTCCTAGAACAACTAAGGTTACACAGAAAAATCCTGTCTAAAGAAAAAAAAAAGGCTGTCATTTGGCCGCTATACACATCCATACACATACGCACACCCACCCATGCATAGAAATGAACACGGAATCAAAGGCAAATGAAGCAAAACAGATACAAAGGACAGGGACCAATGGTCATGTAGCAACCCTCAGCCCCAATCCCAGTTGCAGGCCTCAGGTCAGCACATTCACTGAAACCATTCATCTGAGTCTCTGTGAGCCTCCTCACCGAAGAGCAGCCTCCACACCCAGCAGGTGCCTGAAGATGAGCTGAGCCTCAAGGTCATGGTCCAGTGGATCACTCCACTCCTGCAAGGTCACCCGAGAGTGGGTCTTGTCACATCCCAGATCTGGAGGCAGAGAGAGGGAAGATTTACAGTGGAAACATGCCCAGCTTCCTGGTAGTGCACAAAGGAGAAATCAAAGCTGGGAGGGAGACAAGGATTGATGAAGGGGCCACTAGGGGCTGGAGAGATGGCTCAGAGCACTGTCTGCTCATCCAGAGGTCCTGAGTTCCATTCCCAGCAACTACATGGTGGCTAGTGGCTCCCAATCATCTATACTGGGATCTGATGCCCTCCTCTGGCATGCAGGTGTGCATGCAAATAGAGCTCTCATATATGTAAAATTTAAAAACTGACCCTGGTTCTGCTTGTCCCTACCTACACTTATGGTTGCGGCAGATCATTTTGGCTTCAATTGCGGGACCACAGAGTACTATGGCAAGTGGGTGTCCTGTGGCGTTCAGGTCATGGGAGATGCTAGTCTTCTGGAAGGTCAGTCTGGAGATTGCCCTGAACCTGAAAGGATGGCCCTGAGCTCTCCCGCATTCAAACGAACTGGTCCTGCTACTTGCCAGCTCTGCCACCTCTGCCCACTGTCAGCCTCAGGTGTAGATGTTGTGGCTTAGCAGTAGAGCTGTTGCCTAGATTTCTCCAGTGAGCAGCTGAGGGCTGGGACGTGGCTCAGTGGTAAGGTGTTTACCTAACATGTTGGTGGCCCTGAGTTCCATATGCAGCAACACACGCACGCACGCACGCACGCACGCGCCCATGGATGCACGCACTCTAAGTCACAGGTTCTTCCCAGGAAAATGGGATCTCAGGTTGTCTCAGGGGCCACAGTGAGCCCCCACCATTGGGGGTGGAAAAGGTCTTGAAATTTCTAGAATTGATGGACGTGGTGTCACATGACTACAATACCAGGACTCAGGAAGGCTGAAAAATCGGCTCAGCAGTTAGGAGCAATGGCTGCCCTTCCAGAAGACCAGGGTTTGATTCCCAGCACCCACAAGGCAGCTCACAACTGTCGATTACTCCAGTTCTAGGGGATCTGACAAACTCTTCCTAGCTCTACAGGCACCTACACACACACACGGATATACATACATATACATAAATAAAATAAATTAAATCTTTATTTAAAATAAGTCTAAATCTTTTAAAAAAAGAAAATTCTAATGAGTTTCTATGGCTTGCCAGAGTATTCAGTGAACTGACTCACACTCATCACACACCACCAAACCACCTGGTCACAGATCTTTCTGAGCCTGGAGCACCTGCAGGCCTGGCTTTCCTTGGGCAGCTTTGCCATAGGCAAGCATGTGGCTTTCCAAATTTTAAGAACCCTCCTCCCAGCTTAGGACATGCTTGGGACAGATGCAGAGCAGAGGGACCAAGGCCAGCACGCCCACCTGTCTTGTTTTTCTGGTGACAGCAGCTCCACTTGTCCCCACGGAAGATGCCAGGGTGGTAGGACGCCAGGAGGCTTCTGTTGTCGATGCTCACTTTGCGCAGTGCAGACAGCCACTGGTTCAGCTCGTTCACACACTGCGGGGACAGCTTCTCGGAAGTCTACCTCACCCTCCTCCCCACAGTCACCCTCTTTGAGCTACTCCCCCAGCCCCTCACAAGCACTCTCCTTGATACATACAAGTTAGAGTAATCTGGGAAGAGGGAATTCAAATGAGCAACTGCCTCCATCAGAGTACTCTGTAGGGCATGTCCACTGATGTGGGCAGGGCCAACCCACTGTGGGTGATGCCAACTGTTAGCAACTGGTCCTAGGTCTTATAAGAAAGCAGGATGAGCAAGTCACGGGGAGCAAGCCAATAAGCAGCATTTCTCCGTGGGCACTGCTTCCTGTCCTCTGGTTTCTGTGCTGGGAGCCTGCCTGACTTCTCCTGATGACTGACTGCAAACTATATACCCTGTAATCCTTTCCTCACTGAGTTGCTTTCGTCACAGCCTTTATCACAGCAATAGAAACCTAAGACAACACACACCTTCAGTCCCTCAATGGAGGATTCTAGGCAGGTGTTCTACCTCTAAGCCACACCCCCAGATTCTATTGGACGAATCTGGGCAGGCGCTCTACCTCTAGGCCACACTCCCAGGCTTTTACTGGGGAACTCTAGGCATGTGCTCCATCGTTTTTCTTTTCATTCTTTTCTTTTTTTAAGATTCATTTATTTATTTTATGTATAGGAGTGCTCTATTTGCATGTATACCTGCATGCCAGAAGAAGGCATCAGATCACATTATAGATGTTTGTGAGCCACAATGTGGTTGCCAGGAACTGAATTCAGGACCTCTGGGAGAGCAGACAGTGCTCTTAACTGCTAAGCCATCTGTCCAGCTCCCCCCCTTTTTTTTCAGGACAGGGTTTCTCTGTGTAGCCTTGGCTGGCCTGGACTTGCTTTGTAGACCAGGCTGGTCTCGAACTCAGAGATCGGCCTGCCTCTTCCTCCCTGAATGCTGGGATTACAAGATTGTATCACTGTGCCCCGGCGTGCTTTCTCTCTCTCTCTCTCTCTCTCTCTCTCTCTCTCTCTCCCACACCAGAACATAACATTTTCAGTATTTACATTTGGGACCTAAGACATTGAATTTCAGGCTAGCCTGACCTACAGTAAGAGTCTAAAAAAAATTCAGATCAGAATAGGAAAAAGCAAGCTCTGAGTCACAGGGACCTGACTATTCCTCTAACCACAAACATACCTACATGTGGAGGCCCATGCATCTGGGACGCTATGACAACATACTCACACAGCCTGCAGTACCTAATGTGGCTGACAGAGGGCGAGGGAAAGATGGAGACAGTCCACATTCTACACCAGGATACTCCTGCAGCCCGCCCCCCTCCCCCAGATTGCCCTCCACAGGCCACACCTTGCACTGCAGGTAGACAGTCTGGGCCCGGCCAACATCATCTGCATAGATGACCTGCATGACGTGGGAGCTGCCAAAGCTCTTCTCTTCTACCTTCTCCACAGCCCGGATGCTGGCGAGCTTGATGAAGACACTTTTCTGGGGCAGCCAGGAAAAGGAGGCTGAGGGGACTGGGCTAGGCTGCTCTACTTCCTTCTCTACATCCCCAGGCTGGCTTTTAACGGTCTGTACAGTTGAGGCTGATCTTGAACGCCTGATCCTCCTGCTTCCACCTCCCAATTGCTAGGATAATTAACGAATACGCATCATCCCAGTCTCCCTGCTCACCCACCTTGGAGCTGGCTGTCTTTGAGAAGCTGAGGGCTTCAGTGGTAAGGGAGAAGTACAGTTTCTTGAAGGAGGACGCAAGAGGGCCTTTGCCTTTGGTCCTGTGGATAAACAGCGGTCCCTCCTTGACAGGCGGTGCCTGGGAGTTTAGTGCCCGCTGTAGGTCCAGCTCTGAAAGCAGGTAAGAAAACAGAAGAGCGTTGCTAGCAAAGGGGAGGGAGAGACTAGGGGAGAAGCTAAAACCGGCTGGCGTAGAGTCAAGGGGAGGGGCTAAGGCAAACCGGATGCTGCGATTAGAAGTGGGCAGGGCCCTGTGTGAAGAGGGTTGGTGATGAAGCTCGGTTGGTGGAGTGTTGCCTAGTATGGACAGACCCTGGGTGAGATTTGCAGCACCACATAAAACCGGGCTTGGTGGCTCAGCCCTTGGGAGGTGGAGACTAGCGGGTCATAAGGTTTAAGGTTATCCTTGGCCGTGAGTTTGCGGGCAGCCTTGGGTTAGCCTGTCTCAAAACGAAAAAACGTCAGATGGGAAAAGAGAGGACTCATTTAGTCCCGTTTGGCAGGGCGGTAGGCGGGGTCAGGAAACTTGCACAGAGGCTTTGGGCATGATTTCGTAGGAAGGTCCTTGCCTTCCTTTTCTTCTATGTCTATGAGCTTGGTGATGAAGTCCTTCATCTGCACCACGCCCTGGCGCACAGTGGGCTGTAGTGGTTCCATCCATGCCTCTTTGGCCCTGGAGACCGCCGTGTCCATATTGCCTACAATCTGGACCGCCTAGGGATGACAGCAAGAAGCACAGAGCTTTGGGGAGACAACAGTCCACCCATGGCTGCCTACCTCAATCTAGCAGCAGAGACCAAAGCTGAGGAGGCAAAAAGGCCTTACTGCGGTTCCATGGAGGAGTCAGGGATGCATGCTTTTTGATTCTTTCAACACCTGATAACTTGGAACCAACATTTCTGCTTTCGTCTGCAAGTCTGTTTAATTATCGTTGTGTGTTGTATGGGGTGTGCCTGGTGTGTGTGGGACTCAGCTGGTTGGTTTGTGGAAGTTTCTCTCCTTACATCTCGTAGGCTCCAAGGATGGAACTCATGTCACCAGGCTAGGCAGCAAGCATCCTTACCTACTGATCCATTTTGCTGGCCCTGCAAGTTTCTTCCTAATATCAGAGAGCTGCAATGCTGGGCAGATGCAGGCCTGGGAATAAGAACTGCATTGGAAGACTCCAGTTCACTAGACAGGCGTTGGGCTTTCTTTGTCTCTTTAGGTTTGGATGGTGCTCTCAAGAAATGATCACGAGGATGCTTTGTAAACTGTGAAGTGCAATGCCATAGAGTACCAGTGGCCAGGCTGCAAGACCTTCCTAGTGCCTACTGGTGCGACACTGTGGAGTAGTACAGGGCCCTTTTGCAACCTAACTGGTCTTCCCACCCCAGTCTGCAGGCCCACACCTTGGCCAGCAGAAGTAGCGTGCGGCTGGTACGGGCATCTGCGTGTCGCTCTCGCAGGTGGAAAAGCTTGGGCGACAGGATAGCGGGAGAGAAGAAGCGAAGGCACAGGAAGCTGGTGACAGCAATGAACGGTACGTTCTGGAAGGGGATGGAGAGTAGAGACTAGTCAAGAAGCATGTCTGTCTTCCGAGGACTACATCCCACAGGATTCCCTTTCTCTCCCGGCCTTCAGCTCTGCGGTCAGGGGCCGCACCTGGTGCTGGGCGGTCGGGAAGCGCTCCCGCACGCGCTGGAACAGCTGCCGGAAAGTGGCGCGGACCACAGCTGGGCACGCGCGAACCGAGCGGCATATTGCGCTCAGCAGCGCCATCAAGTGAGTACGCAGGGTGTGTGCGCTCTGCTCCAACACCTCATCTTCCGTCTGTGGGCGATGCAGTCCAGAGCACCTGCATGGGATTAACCCTCAGCCTGTCATAGTCAGCACTTGCGAATTCATGGAGGCGGGGGACTACTCGGACATCAGACACAGAGAGAAAGGACAGGTGGACCAAAACAGAAGGAACCATAAACACTTCTACACGGGGCCTGATTCCGTACAGTTATGCACCCAGCGATTACCCCGGCCTCACCCTACATCCTTAACTTCCACTTTGCTGGGGTCCAGCTCCACGTACTTCTTCTCCTGGAACACTCTGTCAATGATGGGACCCAGGATGCCATGCAAGTATCGCATCCCTGCCACCTGGGGGCCACCATAAACCGTACTAGTTAACCACCCTGCCTGCCGTTGGATTGGAATATTGACTTAGCTTTGGGCCCGATGCACAATTAGGGTGACTCAATGTACTTCTCCACTGAAAGTGTGTCTACATGCATGCATGAATAAATGCATAGATAGATGAATTAATAAGTGGATGATGAAAAATTCTGGCCTTCTAGGGCCCTAGACATAGAACTACTCTCCATGGATCTGAGGTCTGTAAGATGACCATGCAACCTCACCTTCAGAAAGGACTCCATGGATTTTGAGGCCAGAGAATTGCTCCGGAAGATGGTGTTGGCCTCACCTACAAGCAGAAGTTCTAGTAGGCAGGGAGCTGGGATGAGGCTTTAGGGGCAGGAGGACAAAGGACCCATGAGATGGGGTCGTTTAGTGCCCAGCAGTAAATGACCTCAACATTTCCCACCTGCCCCACTTGGACTGTTGGTTCTTTTTAGGGAGGGGGCGGCCTCGCCTGCATTTTAGAGGGGCCCAGTCAATGTGCTAATGAGGGCCTCTTCCCACCCTTCCTGGGACAAGTCCTCCTAGGCCTCACTGGTACGGCTCAGCTCCAGCTGAAAGAGCAGGTCCAGAAAATCCTTGGCCAGCCCCTGCCCCAGGAAGAGCTTGAGCAGGGTAGTGGCCACTTCCTGGCGACACTCAGCACTAGCTGTCTCCTCGATGATAGAAATCAGCTGTCCTGGGCCCTGCAGGAAGAGGCAATGCTCATCTCGGCCCTGCAGGGAGCAGCAGGAAGAGGCAGGGCTCAAATCCACAGGGAAACCTGAAGCTCCCCAGGGTTAAGACCTCAGAGCACAATGGGAAGGTTGTTTGGGTACAGGGTGGGGTCCTTTGGACATTATTTAATGCCCTCCCAGCCCCAGGAGTCAGTTTATTGCTCTGCAAAATGGGTTCAGGACAGGCGAACTACTCAACTAACCATGGATGCCTTCAGTTTCCCATAGGGTCGCCTCACCTGGGTGCCCAGCTTCACCTCCTGGCACAGCAGTTGTATGAGAGGCTGGTAGAAGATGGATGGCAACACTGTCTCATCCCACAGCCGCACCTCCAACTGCAAGGAGCCCAGGTTGCCCCTGGAATGGGCAGCCTGTGATCTCTCCACCAGGGACTCAGTTCTCCTGGGCCATGTCCACTCACAAAGGCTCAGGCTTTTCCCCTTTGAAATCGGCCCTGCACTCTCTTTGCCCATGTCCAGCAGCTGCTCTGCAAACCTCTCCCGACAGCTCTGCCTTTCCGTGTCCCTGTCTGGAAGACCCTTCTTGCCGTATTGTCCAAAGAACCACCACCCATTTTCAAAGCCTAGTTCCTTCCTGCCTCCTGATTCCAGTGTACTATGGGAATCCACTTGGGGTACACCAAGCTCTCATATTCCACATCATCAACTCCTAAACACCATCACTTCACCTGTATGCTTTACCCAGGAAGCAAACTGTTAACCTGCCAGAGCAATATAGACTCAAGTAAGACGGGTGACATCCCATAGTAAATCTAACTTCCAGGATTTCTTACTGTGACTCCCCTTGGGAGGACCCTGACTAAGGCTTAACTCCTTATGGCTCTCACTATCCTCTACACATAGCTGACGTGCGCATACTGCCCAGTGCACACCTCATGTGCTGAAGCCTTCAAATCTGGCCTAGACTGCTTCAAGACAAATGTCCTGGGCTGGGCACACCCCTGGCCACCTGCCCCCACCCTGAGAAGAACACGGATGAGGGATGTGGGACCTTCCTCAGGAATCCAAAGCTCAGTCAGGCAGTGGGTGTGAGAGCCAAAGAATTTTCTAGATGGAGCCAGCAGATAGAGCAGAATAAAAAGACAAGACACCAAGTTAAATTTGCATATGTTTAGTATCAGTGTGGCTTGAATACTGAGTGATCCTTTTTCTTGTTTGAAACAAGGTAGCCTTGTAGATTCAGGCTAGCCTGGAACTCTACATCCCCCTGACTCAGCCTCCTGAGTGCTTGGATTCTAGGTGTGAGCCACCTCACCTAGCTCACAGTCTTACATTAAAAAGATATCCCCAGGACTTAGATGAAGCTCAGTAGTAGAGTACTTGCCTAGCAAAATAAATCCTTGGGTTTAATCCCCAGTGTGCCATATAATCCCAGTACTGGGGAAGGCCAGCCTGGGCTACATGAGACCCTGTTTCAAAAAAATAAAAAAAACTAATCGGGTGTGGTGACACATGCCTTTAATCCCAGCACTCTGGGAGGTGAGGCAGGTGATCACTGAGGCCAGCCAGGTCTACAAAGCAAGTCTTGGACAGCCAAGGCTACACAGAGAAACCCTGTCTCAAAAACAAACAAAAAATAACTATTTATCTGAAATTTAGTTTTGAGATAGGGTCTTGCTCTATCAAACCAAGTGGCCTCCAGTTCTAAAACTGGGGTTACAAGTGTGTGTCACTCTGTTTGACTCCAGCTGCCCCATTCATGTGGCGTGTGGCACTTACACATGCCACAGTGAATGTTCAGAGGTCAGACATAGCTTCAGAGTCTAGGTTACCTGAGCCATCTGACAGCACAGGTGTTCTAGTGTTTAATTTTTATCTTCATGGTGCTGGGTGTCAAACCCACAGCCTTGTGCCTACAGGGCAGGCCCTCTACAGCTGGTATATCCTCAGCCATGCCCTGCCTTTCACATGGCAACTCTATTTTTGGAGACTCTTGAAGAAGGAAGGTTCAGAGTCACGGCTCTGAGGCACTCTCTCTAGGGACTAGAGATCTGCAAGGAAGCCCTTTAAAGGGAAAGGATCTGAGCACTTATTCCAGAAAGCAACAGGGCATAAGAACAGGAGATCCATGCACAACAGTGCGCTCAGAGGACAAGAGTGTATATAAACAGAGCAGCGAGTTCCCACCCGGATGAGAAAGATGCTGTCATGGTGAGCAAAGAATGAAGGACACTGGAGCTATGTATTCTTGGCCCCTGAGTAATCAACCATCTGAAGCATCCCCCGCCCCTCCAGGGCCCCACAGAATCACTCACTGGCCTCTTTGGCTTTTGGACTGGTCAGGCTGCAGCTGGAACCAGCCTTCTTCCTGCTGGGCTGAACACAGTCTCTGGACGTTGACCACCACCTGAGTAAAGGGCAGATCAGGGCTGGAACACTCAAGTCACCTGCTGGCCAAGTACTGGTCTTTTTTTTTCCTGAAGTTAGGGATAGAACCTAGGGCCTCACAGATATTAGGCAAGCATTCTACCACTGACCCACACCCCAGCCCCTTACTGGCAGGGGCTTCTACCACTGAGCCAAGCTATCAGCCAACAATAACTGTGGTGGCTATTCTTGGTTGTCAATTTGACTACATCTGGAATTATCTAAAACCCCAAAATGGAGGGCATATCTGTGTGGGGTTTCTCTTAATTTGAAGTGGGAAGATCTACTTTTGGTTTTTTTGTTTCTCCTTGTAGCGCTATCTGTCCTGGAACTTCCTTTGTAGACCAGGCTAGCTTTGAAACTCAGAGAACCACTTGCCTCTGCCTCCTGAGTGCTGGGATTAAAGGAGTGTGCTATCACACCCAGCTAATTTCTTTTTTAGGATAGGGTAAGAGATACTCCAGGAACTACTGATCCTCCTGTCCCCACCTCCCAAAGTTGGAACTGCAGATATGGGCCACCAAGCCTGGCTTGTTGTTTCATTTGTTGAGACAGGATCCTGCTTTGTAGTCCAGGGCGGCAATTTGCACCCATTTGCAGTAATCCTCCTGCCTCAGACTCCCAAGTTCTGGGAGTACTGCTATGCCTGGCTTACTCTCCGCCCCAGGGTTTTACTGTAGTCTTCCTGTCTTGCTGTCCTCAAACTTGGAGATCCATCTGCCTCTGCCTCCCTGAGCGCTAGGATTACAGGCGTGCACCACTTTGCCTGGCTCCTGGCTTACTTTTTGAGACAGTGTCTGCCTAAATTGCCCAGGCTGGCCATGAATTCAATCTGTACTCCTGGGGTCTTGAAATGGAGATCTTGCCTCAGCCTTCCAAATATCTGGGATGACAGTTCTGTACCACTAGGCCTGGCTTTGATTATTGGACAGAGGAGGACCTTGAAAGGGTCCCAGAGCACCAGAGCAGCCTGCTGGGAGCAATCCCAACGTTACTGTCTGAGAAAGTGGGTGGTGTGGCAGGGATGGACGCCAGACACTGCAGGTGATGCTGTAGCCTGGACAGGTGGGGGTGGGACTGGTGCTTACTTTGCCTAGAAAGTCATTCCGGCTGACAAGATCCCAGTCCCAGGCCTCCACCAACAGCGCTCCTATGGCTCCCTCCTCCAGCTCAAATTCAAATGTCTCGTTCCAGCGTGGGTAGCAGGATTTCTTCACCACCTGCTCCAAAAGGGATAGTGGACGCGGTTCACAGGGATACCCAGGGCATGAGCATGGCACCTCCCCTGGCTCTGTACTGGTGTTTCCAGGTCCAACTAGGAGTGGTGGAGCAAGACCGTCACTCCAGCTACTCAGGAGGCAAGAAGACTGAAAGTTCAAGGCCAGTCTGAGCAACTGAGTGAGACTCTTACTTCAGAAATAAAAATGAATACCTTAAAGTTATGAGTAAGGAAAATAAGAATTCCAGGTGACACCTCAGTCCTCATTGCTAATGTGAGACTATATGTACATATATATATTTGTTGTTTTGATTTCTTTGTGTACCCTTCACTGTCCTGGACTCTCTTTGAAGACCAGGCTGGCCTCGAACTCACAGTGATCCACCTGCCTCTGCCTCCCTGAGTACTGGGATTACAGGCATGTGCCACTGTGCCTGACTGTGAGACAAACTTTTGAGTGGGTGATGGTTGCCCCTAAGGTGGCCCACCTACAAATAAAGAAATATGAGGCATGGCTCAGTGGTAGAGCATTTGCCTAGCATGTTCTGGATCCAGGATTCATCCGATGTATTGAAGGAATATTTCATAAGAAATCACACACCTCACCAAGGGGAAACTGAGATGCAGAGTGGATACAGGACTCATCTAAGGCCACACAACAAAACAGAGGCTGCACTGAGAACCCAGCTCTGGACAAGCTCCCCCAGGCCATCTGTCCATCTTCAGGATAATGTTCACAGAGATAAGATCCACCCCGCTCCAGCCTCCTCACCGAGGTCTCCTGGGTCTGGCCATTGTAGTACACTCGGACGAAAGGGTCAGATGCTCCATTCCGGTCTTTTGGGGCCAGGTCCCTGGTGGTGAAATGGGGACAGGGAATTACTGCTTCTGCAGTTTGCTTGCAGTGAACTGAACAGGAAAGGCTTGGCTCATCCAGGGTTGCATGCTGGTTGACTGGGTGGCAGCTCTCTCTCCCCCCCACTAAGATCACTCATAGCCTCCTTGCCTACTAGCCAAGTCCCTGAGGTGAAGTCTCCTGACTGAACAGCTGCAGAGACATAGCTGTGCCTGAGTCGGCTCACTGAAGAGAAGGCAAGAACAGCTGGGAACTATACAGCACTCAGGAGGCTGAGGAGGAGGATTGTGAGTCTGAGGCTAGTCTGAACTAGGATACATAGCAGAACTGTCTCAGAGGGTGGGCATTAGGTCACCCCTACGAGATTTGCTAAGAAGAGACTCATGTGGCTGCAGTTCTTGGAGCAGAGGACTAGGAGATGATTCATCAAGGTTGGGGAATGTTGGGGACACCTATTTCTGTTTTATCCATCTTAATGAATTGGAATGTGTGTGTAACTGTTGGCCCCATGGTCCTGAGGTTGGGTACTATATGCAACCTGTTCACCTACGTACAAGCCAGTGCCAGAGGCAGCCTGGTACCAGGCAAGGAGGGTGGATGGAGGTAGATGGGAGACAGAGAGAAGAATGGGGGGAGGCAGGTAGGTTGTGGTTCAGTTGTTCCTCATGGCTCCAGCCTCAGAGCAGAAAATAAAGCTGGGGTCAGCCGCAATAGATCCTAAGTGTCCATCATGCAACACACACCCCTCCATTTGCCAGAGAGACCACTTCCTCCCAGATGGGCTAACTGCCTCAGGCTAAGGGGCATTTTCTGTTTCTTTTGTGGAACTGGCTGGCTGGAGGAATTGGCTGCCCACTGGCCCCAATGGTGGACTAGAGGGACTGTCCCATCCACACATTCTGTCTGGACATGTCACCCCCCCCAGCACACACACAGACACAGACCCCCCCCCACAGCATACACATGCACAGATATGCCACACAGAACACACACATATGCACATGTGAACACACACAGGGGAAGTTTAAAACTGGGGCTGGCAGTATAGGGAAGGAAGACCAGACCCAGCATTCAGACACTGGTGTCCAAGGGTGCACACGATAGCCAGGGGTGGTGGGCCAGCCTAACCCTAACCCTTTAATCTCTTTAGCACTCAGGGAGGCAGAGGCAGAGGCAGAGGCAGGTGGATCTCTGTGAGTTTGGGGCCAGCCTGGTCTACAGAGAGAGTTCCAGGATAGCCAGGGCTGTTACACAGAGAAACTGTGTCTCAAATTACTAACAAAACATACAAACAAAAAAGAAAATTCGGGTTAAGACAAAAGATTATTGTGTTCCTGAAGGCTACATCCTTTAGACAGGTCACTCAGGCAGCGTCTCAGCATCTCGATAGCCAGGCCGTCTTTTGAGAGTAGCCTCGGGTGGGAGGAGAAAAAAGAGCCTGGACCTCTACACCCCTACATTCCCACCCCCCTCCCCCAGCCCATCTCACCTGGCCTCAAGCACTGAGCAACGCAGCCGGCTGGCATGGGTTCCTGGCACCACCTCCAGGCGCAGGTGGATCTCTCCCTGCACCTCCTCATTGGGGTCCACCTCCATCAGGTGTGTCCATCCACTGAACCCTGCAGGGCTTCATGTCAGTCAAAGATGGGGGGCCCACATCCACTTTTACCCTGAGACACACCTGCCATCCTATAGCCCCTCCACCAGCTCCTTGCGTCCTCTGCATATTTCCAGTGCCAGGTGGCAGAAACTGAGGCTCAGAGGCTGAGCAGCATTGGAAGAGCTGTGTTGTGCCCATTTCAGCTAGGCTAGCTGGCCAGTGAACTCTTGGGATCTTCCTGTCTTTCCCAGACAATGCTGGAGTTGTAGGCACAAGCAGCCATGCTTGTTTTTTTAATTCTGGGATCTGAACTCTGGTCCTCTTGCTTTCACAGCAAGTGTTCTTCCTCATTAAGCCAACTCCCTAATCCCTTCCCTTCTATTTTCATCATGAAGCAGGGTCTCATGTAGCCCAGACTGCCCTCACTCACACTATGTATCTGAGAATGATCCTCCTGCCTCTACCTTCCCAACACGAGGATTACAGGCATACACCACCACACTCATTTTTTGACTGGAATTTAAGTCAGTGACCCGGTTCTAAGCCTTCATTAACATTCTTGGCTCTGATTGCATACTCCTGACCCTCACTGGTTGTGGAAATGTCCACTCTATCCTTAGTTATCCCACCATGAAACATGAGAACAGTGGCTCCCTTCAGGCTACTGGAATGATAGTCTGAAGACCAGATACGGGACCCACGGACAAGGAAATGTGTGCACTGGGGGCACCTGGACAGCTGAGGCTGTATCAAGCAAGGCCGCTGGCCTGGCTGTGTCAGGAGACTCAGTGAGTCAGCAGAGCCTGCCACCCCCTCATCCCTACCCTAGCCTCACAGACAGAAACAGGTGTGTGCACCAGGAAGCCATGGGATGAGTCAGAGGCTCAGAAGGCAGAGCTCAATGGACCCAAGAGCACCTGGGCTCAACCATCTGAAAAGTCCAGAGAGGTCAAGACCTCTCTGAAGTTACACAGTAAGACTTGAGCAGGGCTGAAACCCCCAAATGGTGTGCAAGAGGGGCATCTTACCCTTTGGGTGAGAGGCTAGCATATCCCTCGTGAGGCAGACCTTTCCAATAACATCGTCCCGGCTAGGATTGGAGATAGAGTCAGAGTTGAGCCATGGAACCAGCTTCCCTGGAGCCCAGCAATCTCGGCCCCACCCTCCAGGAAGCCATCAGTTGCAGGATAGCACAACAGAGCAGAACAGAGGACTCATGTGCAGGCTGTGTACTCCCAGGATACATGATATGTTTCTGCATGTGAGATCTACAGCGCACCACCCTCATGACCTCTGGGTGCCCACTTCATAGCTCATGTCACAGTGCACAGCTGTATGCACATATACATGTGCATACATACGTGTGCTTTCCCCAGCCCCTTTGGACATCCCCCACCAGGCTACAAAGAGACAGCAGTCACAACAATGGGCACATCCTAGTCCAGCTGCAGGGCAGGGCAAACTTACCTGAGGGCATCCTCATCCATGACGTAGAAGGCCACCGTGTGGAATGTTGGGGGTAAATGCACTTGATACTCCTCACCCCAGAAGGGGCACAGGGTCTTCCACACAGTAGCTGTCCTATAGGAGAAGACCCTCAGGACCTGGTCAAGCCACCACCACATTCTTTGCATCTAGAACTTGTTAATCACATTGGCTCAGAGTAAGATGTTTCCTTCCCATCTTCCAGTCTTTAATGTTGGCCTCCTGTCCTCTCTGGATAGGACATGAACTATTACTGTACACTTAGGGATACTGACCCCACAGTTGACAGTAGCTGATCTCGGGGAGTGGGGCAGAGGAGGAGCATGGACACCCTCCCTCTAGAACAGAGCTGTCAGTCAACTCATGGGATTCAATAGGGTGCATGGTTTGAGGGGAGCTGAAGTCACAGGGAGTCCAGATGGAAGCTCAGGGGGTCACCCCAACTACTTCTCAGAGAAGTCAGGAGGAATGGAATGTTGTGTCCTCTGTTTCTGTCTGTTTGGGACACTCAGAACTACCACATCCCTCTTCCTGCTCACTGCTCATGGGTTAGGCTCAGCTTGCCAAGGTGTTAGGGGTCAGCAATGGCTGCCCAGTCAGGTATGCATCACGGTCCAGTAAGTCTGATCATGAACTTTAGTGGATGGTGTTTGGATGAGGGACAGGATGGGAGAGCAAACACCAGTCTATGGTGTTGGAGTTGGCAAAACTGCTTATTGGGTGAAAGAGCTTGCGCCCAGCCTGGTGGCCTGGGACCCACATGGTGGAATAAGAGAACCAGCTCCTGTAGAATACCCTCTGACCTCCACCTACCAGATGTGGCACACTCTTCCTGTATCCTTAAACAAGTAAATGAATGTAAATAGATCTTAAATCAGAGAGTTGGTGGGAAGGGCATCCAGAGGAAATAGCCCTTTGGGGCTTGAAGAACATTTTTATTAGAAATAATCTTAGTGAGAGAGTCTCTCAGAGAGAGGGGCCCTGGAAGTCAGAGCACAACAGTATTCTGGGGTCAGCCAAACTTCATTTCCAGTCCGGGTTTGTCAGCTCCTTAGGTGTGAGGCCCTGGACAAGTTACCTAGTCTGAGCCTTAATTTCTCTATCTGTAAATGGGAATTAGTGATACAGTATCCATTGTGATGAATTCCAAGGAAGACTTAGCTGGGAGACTAGCGGAGATTGTGTTATAATTACTCATCACTATGTCTCTCTGGGTGGTAAAGTTTGCAGAGAAGGACCCAGGCAGGTGACAGTTGCTTGCCCGCAGGGCAGTCGATAAGGACCATTTTGAAGTCTACGACTGATAGGACCCATTACAGGTGGGTCTTTCTCAGCTGAGACAGCATGAGAATCCCAGAAGGATTAGGAACTCCCAGACAGCCTGGTGTGGTGTAACCCCAGCACTCTGGGGAAGCAGAGGCAGGAATATCTATGTAAGTTCGAGGTCAGCCTGGTCTACAAGGTGACTCCAAGATAGCCAAGGCTACACAGAGAAACTCTGTCTTGAAAAACAACAACAAAAAGGAACGCCTAGCCTTCATCCATGTCTTCCGGAAGGAGCAGGTGGCTGGATGAGGGAGGTCAGCCAGTCCTAGAGCCCTAGAGGAAGAAAGCAGTCAGTACCTGATGATGGATTCATTGTCCACTTTCACGATGCAGTAGGGGTCGCTGCTGCCCGTGCTGCAAGACAGAAGGGCAAGGGACAGGTTTGGTTGGCAGCCTGATGGGGACAAGGCTGAGTGGACGGAGGGGGACTAGGGTGGGAACCTTGCTGGGATCAGGGATAATCTGAAGGAGGTGTGAGGAAGGCCAGGGACACTGAGGGCAGGGCCTAGGACAGAAAAATTTGCTGGAGGCGGGGACTGAGTGGGTCTGAAACAGTGCTAGAGAGGCTTGGGAGGGGGTAGGAGAGGGAAAGTGCTGGGTATGGGGCACCGTGAAGGGGAGGGGCTGACGGGAGGCCTGGAGGAGGGGCTGCAGGACAAGTCTGAAGAGAGTGGAATCACTATAGGCAGAGGGCTTTTGTGGAAAAAAAAAAAAAAGGAGCTGGGCGGGGCTTGAGAGACCATCAGGGGTTGGAGCGGAAATAGGGAAGCTTTCCGCTAGTGGGGCTGGAGGGAAGCTTGTTGTTGGCAGGGCTTTCTAGGTGCGGGGCTTAGGGCAACTTTAGCCTTGGAAGGAAGCCCTCACAGAGCTTATGGGGAGGGGTAGGGTCTGGGAGGACTGGCAGCTCCCAGGCAGCGTCCCTTCCTCTGCCGGAGAAGGCATCCCCAGAAGACAGTGGAGACCTAGGCACCGTCCTCAGGCTGCAGCCCAGAGGCTACAGAACACGAGGCCCTGGAAGGAGGATGAGAAGAAAAAGAAGGCCCTTCACTGGGCTTTCCGGAAGGTCCATACTCCGTGCTGAGGCCTGCCACTCACTGTTTCGTCTTCACCCTTTGGCTTGGTGCCAAAACAGTCTCATCAACAAGGGCCAGGCATCTCCCATCACCTCCATCCTCCACACCAAACATCCCTGTAGGTTTCTCTCTGAGCCTTTACCCTGCTCTCCGTGCTGCATGGGACAGCCTTCTCCTGTATGAACCCTCCCCTGCCTCAGAGGCAGTAGGACTCCCCTTGAATGAAGCAGCCATCGCCCTTGCTACACTTTGATCCTCCGTACCCCAGGCCTGGCAGATGTGCACCTACCCGCCACTGTCTCCCTACAGGGCAAGGTGGGTGAGTACCTTCTCTTGCTGTTCAGCACAGGACTTGGCCCAAGACAGGGGCCTAGTGTTTATTGAATGAATGAATGAATGAATGAATGAATGAATGAATGAATGAATGAGTGAGTGAGTGATCGATCCTGGAAAAAAAGGGCTGGAGAATGCAACCTCAGAATTTCCCATATATCTATACTGTGGGGCTCATGAATTTGTGAGGGTAGTGGGCAAAAAGAGGATGTATGTTTGTCGTTCATAAAAAAGGAAGTGCGTTTGAAGCTAGGGGAATTCCGATTCCAACTCTACTTCTCCATTCTTTTTTCAGATGCTGGGGATGGATCTGCCTCCCCCCCGAATTGTAGCTAAGGGCCCTAGGACTGTCATTGGAAGATTCTAAACAAGTGCTCATGCTGCTTTGCTGTGCCCTTTCTAAGCCAGGGTCCTACTGATGAGCCACCTCCCCAGAGACCCTCACTGGGGATTCTAGGGTTGCCTCTGAGCTATGCTCCCAGTCCCAAACTTCCTAATTTTCTTTTTCTTTTTTTTTTTTTTTTTTGGTTTTTCAAGACAGGGTTTCTCTATGTAGCCTTGGCTGTCCTGGCCTGGCTTTGTAGACCAGGCTGGCCTTGAACTCACAGAGATCTGCCTGCCTCTGCTTCCCTGAGTGCTGGGATCACAGGCTTGCACCCCTGCCCCGGATGAACTTCCTAATTTTCTAAAGGGGCCCTTGAGGCAGGGATGCCACTGGGATCAAAAGTCCACTGCACACCCCCACCCCCAAATCCAAAACACAAAAACAAAATAGAAAATATCTACCCAGGCTGTTTGGTCTTGGGAAACTGGGAAGTATGACCACGTGTAGTCTCTGAGACATCGTTAATTTGGGCATTCAAAGCCATAGGTTTTGGTGCTGTTTCAGACTCTTAGTCCATGTGACGGATCACAGAAGTCCTCTCTGCTCCAGCGAGTTACCCTCCAGCATCTTTAACTTGCATTGCACCAGCCCAAAACGGAAAGATCTCAAGCCTCAAGCAATCCTGGGCTCCAAAGCACACCCCAGAAACAGCATGTATTAATTTTTACAAAGAGTTTGAGCAAGGTTCAAAGATCATTGCCTGGCGAAGGTGACACGGACATCTTTAGGTTGTGTTTTTTATCTAAAAATATTTTTTTATGTGTGTGTGTGTGTGTGTATCTTGTGGGTATGTGCGCATGTGATTGCCAGTTGGATCCAGAGGAGGGTGCTGGATCCCTGGTTCTTGAGTTACACACCCTACGTGGGTGCTGGGAACTGAACTCAGGTTTTCTGCAAGAGCAGTAAGCATTAGAAACCACGGAACCACCTCCAGCCTCTGGAGAACAGTCTTTCTGTTCTTTCCTTTATGAGACAGCTTCACATTCTGCAGTTCAGCCTAGTCTCAGACTTTTGATGCTGCTGCCTCAGCCTCCTGAGTGCTTGGGTAACAGGCATGTGTCATAGGGCCCAGCTTCTTTCTGGGCTGTGGCTCACCAGAGGGTCCCTGCTGCCTAGCTACTGCTCCCTATATTACAGGTTCCTTGGGGTGGAGAACCTTCCTTTTTTAAAAAAATTATTTTACGTTTATTAATGTTCTATCTTCATGTACACCCATATGCCAGAAGAGGACATCAGATCTCAATATAGATGGTTATGAGCCCCCATGTGGTTGCTGGGAATTGAACTCAGGACCTCTGGAAGAACAGCCAAGTACTCTTAACCACTGAGCTAGCTCTTCAGACTGAGAACCTTCCTTTTTGCTGCAGCCTCAGTGCTGCCTTGCTGAATGAATGAGTGAATACCCAAATTAAGGCAGGACCAATTGTAGCAAAAGCTCAGAGGCAGAAACATAACCTGGTGGGCTGAATAGTGAAGACTGTGAGAAAAGACCCAAGGGTGGGAGGAGACAGTGTGGAATGGACAGATCTCCAGTGTAAAGAGTGGGGCCTAGTAGCAGTCCAGGGACCTGTTGCTTACCAATGCTCTCCACCCTGGTAAGACCTATGGAAGTGGGCCCTTCTTCCACCACCCTTCCTCAAGCCTGTGGCCACTGGCCCAGTCTGGCGACTTGTAGGCCTCTATATTTAGGGCCTTGGCACTTTCTAGACTGGAAGAGGAAAGAGAGGGCAAACCCTGAAATAGCCTAGGCTTGTCCCCAGGGCTACAGACAGGGGATGAGCCAGCAGGGCACTGGTCAGCAGGAGACTCAGCTTTTTACCCAGCTGACCCAGGTCCCCAGGAATGGAAGGTAGGAGTGAGTGGGCAGAGGCAGAATCAGAACACTGCTCACGGTGGCAGCTGAAGAGAATCAATCTCACAAAGGGGTGGCAGTGGTGGCAGCACTCATATAATGTCATACACCTTGGGATGTAGAGGAGGGAGGACGGTGAGTTTGAGGCCAGCCTGGGATACATGGTAAGGTATGTATCCTGATGGTGCCGGGAAGGCCAAGACAATGAGTCACAGTTTCTGCCCTCCGAGTTGTCAGGGACTGGCAACTTCTGGAGGCTTCTACGAGGTGACCAAAATGTCCAAGGGCAAGAACAGGACCTGAGAACCCTTCCCACAGTCGCTAGGATAAGCCGGCGATAGGAAGTTAGAGAAAGGCAATGTAGGATGAATAGGGGTTTGCTGAGGAGGTGGTTCTAACAGGAATGTCAGAGGGTCTTTAGTATTTAAAAGCAGGACTGATCAGGAGAGAAGCCCAAATGTGGGGATCGGCATTTATGAGATAGCTCAAGAAGCAATTTTGAGGTCAGAGCAATGCATTCAGCCAGCCAGCATGTGCAAGTACGGGGATGGTGATGGGGTGTAAGCAGAGATGAGTGGGGCAGGCTGAGAAGCAGGGCCAGGAAAGAGCTTCCAGAGTTAGGACCCACAGGACTGGGCGGGCCCCTCTCCTTGAGGTGGAGACCTCTTCCCAGAATCCTAGAGCCTAAGCTGTGCCTCTGGAGCTAGGCCTCAGAGCCAGCTGCTGGCAGGGAAGGGGAGGAGGTGACAGACGGAAGGGGCTGCTCCTCCTAGCAGACACTAGCTAGAGGAAGCCAAGATGACCTGGTTTACCAGTGCCCAGGGAAGTGAGGGAGGGGCCTGGAGGGCTGGGTAGGGGGGCTGGGAAGGCCTGGGGGACCCCAGAGACCCCTTGTCAGAGCTCATCTAGCCCCCACACTAGGGACCTAATTCCCACTGGCGCCCATCTCCTTTTACGCACAGAAACCCACCTTGAGTCTGCCCACCCTCCTCGCTCCTCGTTGCCATGGCAACTGCTGAGCTAGCCTCTTCAGGCCCAGGGGGCCTTGAACTGGAACGCTCCAGGCGCTGAGAGTGCTCGGCGAGCCCGCCCGCCCCCGCTATTCCGGGCTTCTCCATTCTCTGCAGCCAGGAACCCACCGCGGACCCGGAGCGGACTTTGAACCCTAGGCCTCTGCTGGACGCCTTTCTTTGGTTTTACGATTTTCTGTTCTAGATGCTAGGATTTAAGGCAGCTGGTTCACAGAAAGGGAAACTGAGGCTTTTCAAACTAAAACTGCGCATAAGAATGCCAGGAGGCACATTCTAGGAGTCAAGCAGTTGATGCCGCTAATCTACTGAAAATAGAGGGACAGAAGGGTGTCTGAAAGCTTCACAAATCTGGTCAGGGATCAGAGGAAGCTTTATTAAAGATGGCAATGCCAGTTAGGAGCCCGAAACTCAAGACCTTGTTTTGACACCTTTAGCTAACATTTCGTGTCTGTAGGCATCGGTTTTCTAATCTGTAAAATGATCCGAGGAGAAATGCCTCGCAGGAAGTGATTAAAGGGAGCGTTCCCGCAAAGTCGGGGGACACTCTAAATCCTGCCTCTTTGCCTCACTCCTGCTCGCCTGACCTGCCCCCTCCCCTACTTTTCACACCTGCATTCTTTGCCCAAATGAACAGCAAGCAAGTCCGGCGGACAATTCTTGGGGTTTATTATCGGTTCCAGAACCACAGGGAAATAGCCCTCGTTTTTGAGGGGCACTCCGCCCCTTTCAGCCACACCCTGGGCAGTTCTCACTGCGATGCTACTCCCGCGCCAGATTCAGTCCTTTAAAAGCGCTGGCCCCCTATGAACCTCGGTTTATTGCCTCTCCCAGGTGGAGAAGCCCTCTTCCCTGTCTCCAGCCCTCCACCTACTGCTTCCCCCTCCAACCCCTGTCAAACACCCACAGCAAATCTCACTGTCCCCATTTTCCTAGCCAACCCCCCTCCGTGGCTGCACATGCCACACCCTCTCCGCTGCTCTCCTTGTGGGGAAGCCCTAAAGACCCCCGCACAGGCCAAGTGTATAAGAGGAGATCCTAGTAAAGTTGGGGTGGCCACCCGTATCCGCTACTCACATGTCCTTGGCGGGTAGATTTTTCCCTTCGACGATTCGAATAGACAGCGAGCTGCGCTTGGCCATTGCGAGTCGGCGACGTGGAAGCCTGGCAGGGAGGGATCCGGACGCCTGGGTCCCTTCCCGGGTCAGCGGGAGTGGCACCGCCGGCCGGCGGGTGCAGAGGACAAGGAGGGGAGCTCTGGGGCCGAGGGATCCTCGCTACTCCATTCACCCCTCCCCGCCAGAGGGGCGGGGAGACGCTGCATGCGGGACCAATCAGCGGCTTGGATGACCAGGATGGACGTGGCTTCTGCGGCCCGCGGCCCTCATTGGTCGCCTGGAGCGGGGAGGGGCGGGGCCTGCTTAGAGGCGCCGTCGCAGGCGCCCGGAGACCCCGCCGCCGCTTGGATCCCTCGTGAGGCAGGTTATCCCTGAGGGAGGGCCGAGGCTCACGGAGGGACCTGAGAATGTGTTCTAGAACATGCAGTTTGGGAGGACGTGCAAAAAGGAGGTGTATTGTCCACCAAGCCGGGATCACCCCGGCCACCCGTGGGGTGTGACACACGCAGGAAGCAACTTGGTAGTGTTTCTGACAGGCTTGGCTCTGTTCATCTTTTAAAACGCTTTACATTGCTTGATTGACTGACTGTGGGGGCGTAGCCTACGTGCCATGGCCAAGTGGAGGTCAAAGGATAACCCGTGGGAATCCGTTCATTTCTTCCACCGAATGGTTCCCAGGGATCAAACCCAGGTCGTCAGGCTTGGCACAGGAAACTATTCACTGAACCATCGTCCCTGACCCACCATGTGAGAAACAAGGTCTCTCAATGGCTTGAAACTTACCCAGTAGTCTAGACTGGCTGGCCAGTGAGAGCCAAAGATCCACCTGTCTTCCTCTTCCTCACTTCTGGGGTCACGAGAGTGTGGCGCCACGCCCAGCTGCCCATTAGTTCTGGGAACCGAATTGATATTCTTCATCTTGCAACGCAATTTAGCAGTTGAACCATCTCTGTGGCCCAAGGTATGGATCCCAGCCCTCCACCGCTGCCCATACTGGTGACTGAACCTAGATCTTGAGTATACTAGGCAAGAACTCTGCTACTGAGATACCTCAGGAGTTCACACAGGCTGCCCCAGGCAGCGGTACCCTTGGCCTCCCCTAGCACCAGGCGACTGTAGCCATTTCCACCTACCACAGTCCTTCACCCACACAAGCCACCTTCCTGGAGTGGTCCACTTCCGAGGTTCCTTCCCCACGACGATAGCCACATTTCTGGCTTTGTAGGATCTATCTCCTCCTCCACCCCAAACAACATCGCTCCGGGTCTTACTGCAGACTTGCAGCCCTGTTGTGTCCACTTCCTTGCTTCTCTTCCCTTGAGAAGAGCTGACCTGCCAGGGACGGGAGGAAGATCACGGGAAGGGGCACAAGGCACAGATTCCAGCTTCTATAGCATTCTAGCTTTCTGTTTTTAAATTTAACTTAATTATTTATCATTGGTTGAGTGTGTGCTCGCGCGTGTGCACATACATGAGCTGCATTGGTGCACTGGGACACAAGCTGCAGCATGTGTATGGAGGTCAGTCAGTTCTCGCTTCCACTCTGGGTTCCGGGGATGGAACTCAGATTTCAGGCTTGAGTGACAAGTGATTGCACCTGTTGAATCATCTCGCTGGCTCTGGTGTCCTCTTTCCTTTTTTAAAACTCTGCATGATTACCACCTTTTTTCCATTTATCATTTTCAGTGGTGGCAGTGTGACATGGGAGTGCAAGTCGGAGGAAAAGTATCAAGGGTCCGTTTTCTACTCTTGTGGGTTCTGGGGATTGAGCTCTGGTCGGCTTTGCAGCACTAGCCCCCGCCCCCCCATTTGCCTACAAAATCCAGGGATGGTCATAGATGTCTATAATTCCAGCACTTGAAAGGTGGGTTACCTGATTTTATTTGTATGTGTGGGCACATGGGTGCAGTACCCTAGCAGCCAGAAGAGGACATCACACCCCTCTGGAACTGGAGCCACCTGATGTATATGCTGGGCCCCAAACCCAGGTCATCTGCAAAAGCAGCATTCTAAATCTCTCTCCCTCTCTTCCCCCTCTCTCCTCCCTCCATCTCTCCCTCTTTCCTCTCTTTCTGGCACTCTCCGCTCATCTCTCGGTCTTTATCGCTTTCCTTCCATCTATCCAATACCTACCTATCTGTGAGTTTTTATGCATTCCCATATTGATGGACAGCTAGGTTACTACTGTATTTTGACTGTTTTAAATGGATGTGCAAGATTTCCTGTGGAGACAGATTCAGTGGCACACGCCTTTAATTTCTACACTCTGGGAGGCAGAGGCAGGCCAGCCTGGTCTACAAAGCAAGTCCAGGATGGCCAAGGCTACACAGAGAAACCCTGCCTGGAAAGACAAAACAACAACAGCAACAAAGGATTTCCTGTGGGATGTTGACTAGATCCCGTTTGCTATTCACACCCCAAACACACCGACATATTTAAAGCCAGGTATGCTGGTGCACACCTGTAATTCCAGTACTTGGAATGTGGATGCAGGGCAATTGTGCCTATGTGATAAGTTCCAGAACAGCCCAGGCTACATGAGGCCATCTCCCATGGACAAAGAAAGGCAGGTTGCCAACTGTCCCATGACCTCACCAAATCACTTCTCTCTGATCTTCCAGTCTTTGAGTGACGAATACAAACAATGATTCCTTGGGGTACATTTGACTATTTTGTTCCTTTTTAAATTTGTATTACATCATTCAGTGTGTGTGTGTACACTCACACATTGAGGGGGTGGGGTGTGCCACAGCATGCAAATGGACCAAGCCAGAGAGTTTGCAGGAGTGTTGGTTTACAATTGGCCGTTGTTTGCTCAAATGCTGATTTCTCTACCCCACTCTCTGGTTTCAGTCCGGACAGTGCATCACCTGTCTCAAGGTTGTGTAAACATGCCACCATTTGTCCTCTGTATTGTCAATGAAACAACCAGCCAGAGCTGAGCAATGAAGAGAGTAGGGTGGGACATCCTGGTCCGGAAGGGAGGAGAAAGATGCAAGTGGGGAGAGTAGGAAGAAGAGAGATTGGACAGGAGAGGACTGGGCAACAGCAGGAGAGATGAACCAGACCTAAAATATGATTAAAAGCAAGTATAATGTGGGAAATCTGAATGGGAGGAAACTACGTGGTTTGGGGGGGTTTAGGATGGAGTAATCATTGCCTAGCACTGTGCTCTAGGTTAATTAAATAAATCCTAGTCTCTGTGTGGTGATTTGGGTTTACAGCTGGTTTAGGAATAACTGCTGTTTAACTAAAAGATAAGTCAATGATAAATATTAATAATCAACAATACAGGAGCTAGCCTTCCTTCTACTCCATGGGTCCCAGGGATCAAACTGAAGTCACCATGCTTGACAGCAAGTGCCTTTATGCACTGGTGGTGCCTTTACTCACCAGCCCTCTTCTTTGAGACAGGGTCTCATACAACCTAAACTGGCCTGGAACTTGCCGTGTAGCTGAGGCCTTGAGTTCTTGATCTTATTGTCACCACCTCCCAAGTCCCTGGATTGCCAGCTGCTGGATCAGTTTTTCAAGATAACCTATTAAATCTACTGCCATCCTTGTTTAGTGAGCTCAGGCTCTGAATTGTGGTCCTCCCTTCTTCCAGGGTCATTGGCCATCAGTCCCCAGGGACAAAGGAGCAGAAGCCGTGAACGGGGGTGGGGGTGCAGAAGGCCCTTGAGTATGATGGGATAACTTTCCAGGACCAGCTTCAGTGAGCATGCTCCATTTTTGGGGGTGAAAGAAGGCTATGTAGTTCTTTGGGAGTGAGTAGAGGTTTCCCAGGGCAGGTGCACACTCTTGGCTGGGGCCAGAAGTGCCAGGGTTGCTCTGTTTGCATTTGGCAGCCTGTCTGTCATATGAATGGGAGTAATAAAGTACCCTATAGGTGCGGAGTGGGGGGTAAGCAGGGAACTGTGTCAAAGGTCGTATTCCAGATATGGTTAGAGGCATCTTCCCCTAAAGACACTTTACAGATGAGGTCAGACAGAGAGTGGGAGGCCCTGCTAGGGGGAGGTACTTCTCCCTAGTCTGAGCTCAGAAAGCAATCTAAATTTGGTGAATTGTGACCTCAAGCAGCAGGGTCCTCCAACACTGAATCAGTATACCCCAGGTCCATCTCCACACCTCCATTAGAGGTGTTTGCATGGCACATGGTAGGGAGAGAAGTTTTGCTGGCTTGGACTTTTTCTTTCTCTGTCTCCCATGTTCATTTTTCTATCAGTGCTGAGGTCGGAACCAGGGGCTTCTCCGTGCTAGGAAATGCTCTGTCACTGAGCCCCAAGACTCTCCACAGGGCATTCGAGGCAAGTGCTGTACTGCTGAGTTATAGACTCAGCCTTTGTTACCTGCCTTTACCTCCCGAATGATGGGATCATGAAACATTGCTAAAAGATAGGCTAAGCAAGGTTGGTGTGTGTGTGGGAGAGTAGGCCTTTAATTCTATTAACTTAGAAGCCCGGAGTAAGAGGATTGCGAGTTCAGGGCAAACCTGGACATCATAGTGAGATACTATCAAAAAAGAAGAAAAGGGATGAGGTGTGGCTCAGGGGTGGAGAGCTTGCCTAAACTAGACCATTGAACTCAGTGGTGGAGCGCTTGTTAGCACATACAAGACCATGGATTCCAGGCCCAGAAAAACCACAAAAATAAAAACTAAATGCTGCCCAGGAATGGCTTCATGCAGACACAGTACTGCCAGCACTGACAACAGACCCCTCATCATTGTGCTGAACAAAATGTTGCTATATTCGTCATCCCTCATGGGGCTTGGGAGCCAAGGACAGTGGTCAGAACCTATGTAGGACAAAGAAAGCAACAGGACCCCGGGAAGGCAGGGAGCTCCCTGCTGGGCTAAAGCATCCAGTGAAAGATTTTAAATAAAATACATTTTAACTTTCATTACAGTTACCCATTTTGTGTGCATGTGTCTGGGTGTGCCATTGCGCATGTATGGAGATCAGACAGCAGCTTTCAGAACTTGGCACTCTCCCTACCCTGTGGGGGCAGGGCTTGGACTCATTCGATTTGACGGCACCTTTACCCACTGGGTCAACTCACTAGCCCTTCATGAAGGAACTCAAGTATCTCCACATTGCACCTCACTCGATGTCAGACTGGAGAGATGGCTCATCAGGTAAGAGCACTTGTACAGAGGACTGGG